GTCGTATAGTAGCTTATCAAATTTTGCGAGTTTTTAATTCTTAACGTATTTTATTGGAACACACAAAAAAATAAATAAATACAAATTTTGACGGCGGAAACTTGAATTTCGATGGGTTTGAACGGCCCGCCAACGTGCAGACGACGTGCATAATCGTGTAAACTGCGTCGTTTCTCTTATGTACAAAAGATTCATTATTGTTTATTACTGAATGTCTTTTTTATTGAATTAATGTTTATGTGTGCAAAATGAGCAATACAATTCATTAATAATACGTAGAATATTAAAACACACGAGGAAATGACACAGCATTGTTTTCGTTGTTTACAAAACCAGTGACTGACTGGTTCTACATATAAAACTGAAGAAAATAAGACCTTGGTTGTAGCTGTAGTAAAATTAATATGGTTGTTTTAAGTAATGTTATTTAATGCTAATAAATGGAACAATAGAAGTAGCTAACGATAATGGTAAAGAAAAAAGAGAGATCGCGTATGTAAGTGCGCATGCGCACACGTGAAAACATATCGTCATTACTTTACATAAGAATATGAAAGCAACACTTATTTACTGTTCATATATATTTTAATTAATGTTTCTGAATTTGTTTTTATTGAATTAATGTATGTGTGTGCAAAATTAACAATACAATTTATTAATAATACGTGGAATATTAGAGGAGACGAGACGGCTGCCGGCATTGTTTATGTTAAAGCTTACGAAACCAGTGACTGATTGGTTCTACATATAAAACTGAAGAAAATAAGACCCTGATTTTAGCTGTAGTAAAATTAATGTAAAAAAATTAATATGGTTGTTTGAAGTACCTGTAATGTTATTTAATGTTAATAAATGGAACAATATAAGTAGCTAACCATTAATGGTAAAAAAAAAGTGAGACTGCGCGTATATAAGTGCGCACGTGAAAACATATCATCATTACTCTACATAAGAATATGAAAGCAACACTTACTTACTGCTCATATATATTGAAGGGTTAAATGTTGTACTCTGTATAGACAAACAGAGAGAGAGAGAGCCGAACTGCCGGATGTAAACAAACCTTAATTTCCTGCGGCTTTGTTTTTTTTGTTTTTTTTAGGGGATTAGCCCACCCGGGCATTGGTCACTGACCCACATTGGGGCCTGAGAGGCAAAAAATTAATAATCCTGTAATAATAATAATAATAATTCAGATAAAAAAAAAAAAAAAAAAAAAAAGAGCTGCCTATCTACCTATTGGACAAACTAAAATCTTTCCGGACCACGGGAGTTTCTGGACCACAGAATGCCGGACTAGAGAGGTACAACCTGTACAATCGGTTGTCTGAATCCATGAAGCAGCTGGCTTCTGTGGTGACCTTTATGCTGTTAACTATGTCCACATCAAGTGCAGCTTCATAGGCTCCTATGATTAAGGTCTTATTGTTTTCCCTTTTCTCTTTTTATTTTACACTTTTATCCTCTTCACCACTGATCAGCTCTTTAGCCACTTGGGCGATCGGCCAGGTCTCTGTTAAGCACTGTTGCCAAGTACTGGGCTCCAGAATGTATCTGTACCTGCACCAGTGTTGGTCAAGTCTGGTCTTCAATGAGCTCACACTCAGTGGCGTCACAACACACACTGGCAGATTTTTCCAAGAGTTCACAACCCTCACTCCAAAAAAGTATGCCCTTAGAATTTTCTGAACTTGTGGATTCTTCAATTTTGAGCTGTGACCCCTATAAGATGTTTATAAACTTCAATTAAGTCATCCCTTGCCCACCTATAGTACAGTGGGGTCTCATTTTGTGTGGGTATATCATACTGGTAAGTGTCCACACATCAGAAATCCACGCACATGATGCCCTTTAACACATGTTAAAATTGCTATATTGTACTGGACTCGCCAGACTTTTACTCTTGAATTACATTGGGTAACCAACTTAACTTAACAAAAATGACACAATGTCATATAAACTGCATTTACATTATTAAATAGATATTTTATGAAAGCCGAAGAAGTTAATTATGCGATACTTCACTGAATAGTGGAGGTTAGTAAAGCTCTGGGAGACAATGGGGTCTGAGGCCTCGTCAAATTCAAAGCCTTCAAAATCAACTGCAGACACTTGTAAAGTGACTTTAGCTTCATCACCAATCTCCAGAGGGGCAGGGGGGCCATTGTCACTTAATTCAACTTGGTCTTCCTCGCATTGTTAAGGTGGAAAATAGGCGGTGATGAGAGATTGGCGGTGGCGTTTAATAAACTCCTGGTAACGTTACCTGTAGGGTTCCACCAAATTGTCTGACAGTGCGCTAAGTTTATCACTGCGTTGCAGGCTAGGTTCAGCACTCGTTAAAGCTTACTTGAGTTTTTTAACTTTACTGAGAACTTGCATCGCCTGTTACCGAGTCATGCTTCCCTCGGTCTGCTCTGGTTCCACCAAACTACTAACGCTTCCTTCCACTACCTCAAATTCACTCTTCTCGTCTCCCATCTCCTACAGCATGTGGTGTTTTGAAGTGGAATCCTCTGTTGCTCCAATAACTTTCTTCTCATTGTATATGTATTATGATTGGCGCACTTATTTGTATAATGTATCAGTACTGTAATGAATAAATTAAAAAACAAAAACAAAACTGGTGAGTGAGAAAGCAGGCAGTCCCCCCCCCCTCCCCCTTTTGCAGAGGGAGGGATCAGTCATCAGGAAAGAGATTACCTTCTCATTCTGTTGGTTTATCCTTTTATTTTAAAATCAAATTACTATGCATATACTATATCGTATTTGTTTTCTATTACCCTGTACTGTATACATACAGGGGTATATCATATTTTTGCTATTACTGTATTTAATACTGTATGTTATACTATTTATGATGAAATGTACACCATAATAGACTGATCATATGAGAACATAATAAAGAATAAATAAAAACGAACTGGTGAACGCTGCAACAATCAGTCTCCTCCCTCCCCCACCTCCAGCACGTTTACACATGGTGTCATCTCTTGTATCTATTAGCTCTCTTTAGGCCAATATCAAATCTGATTAGACCACTGTACAGTATCCCCATTAAAGACACAGTATATATTTTAATAATAAATGTGGTAATATCTTTTATAAAAGTAATTATTTTTTAATTACCTGTACTTCAGTGTATTACTTATGTACCAAAAGTAATATACCTGTAAGTACAGTTTATTAAAAGAAAATATTACATTACATATATTTACCCAAATTACGTGTTAGAAAATATACATTACATAAAATACAGCTCACAGATGGGATATGATTGAGAATTTCCTGCTCAGCCTGGAAATTACTTGGGGCTCATTTTCAGTACATTACTATAATTTGTTCCAGAACATATCCGGATTTTGGAGAGTTCCGGATACCATGACGCTGTATAAATGGTCCCATACCTGTATATATATAATAAGATTATTGCATAAAATGTTTTACATGACATGGGTGGCTCTTGAGGGTATGAGAAGACATGATACTTAAGGTGTAGCTGCACCTCTTGGTTTGGGAGGGTACGGGAAGATACTGTACAGTACTTAGAGGTGTGAAAAACTTTTTATTGTATTTAACCAAACATTTAAATCCTATGAGTGAAAAAATGCATGGCTAAATTCAGAAATTAAAATATATTTTAGTTACAACTTCTACAAAAGTGCAGTAAACCCTTTTAGTGCTCTCACAGTTTTATTTATCCTGCCACTTTGGATTTGGGGGAAACTTGGTCAGTGGGGATTGCTTGTGATGGTGGTGATGCACTGAAAGGGTTAATGACTGTCTCATTTATTTCTATATCAAGTGACTTGCTTTAATGAGCATGGCTGTACAAGTGCAGAAGAGCTTATGCTGTACTGTAACTCCATCATTATTGTCTTAGCTTTTGGTGTTGGCATTTTCAGTGTTAACAGAGGTTAATACTTTACATGTAGGTTTTTTAATTGGTTATATTTCGATAAACTTAACACCAGTTAATTTTTGTATTTGAAATGTAACATCAATGAGTAAGCTGTGTTGTCTTCAGACTGCACCTTTGTATTACTGTACTTATTATGTTTATGCTGTATTGTCAAGACATAACTGTCATGGTTAGGAAAGATAAACCATTTCTTTAAACAGCCTTCCAAACATTAAAAAAAATCTTCTACTCTACCTCCTTTTTCACATTGAACATATCTTTTATTATCCTTTTCTTCAGTTTCTCCTTCAATTCCTTCTTTCTCTAACCTCCCTCCTCATCTTCATCTTTAGGTTCCTGTCATTTTCCCCTTCTCTTCCTCCTCTTTTCTTAACATATTTAGTCTTCAAGGAAATTTTGGCTATTTTAATTGAGGAGTCTAGCCTAGAGATATATTTGATGGGGATTTTCTATATGATTGAGCTACTCTAGTCAGATATATTTCTAAAGGTGTTTTTCTTACAATAAGTCATTGACTTCTGTCAGTTTTTCATTATTTTAACACCATTTTTTTTTAATTTCATGAACTGGAAAGATATTAATGATTTCTTTAATGAAGCGTATGTATGTCAGAGTATGTATGATCAAATGTTTAATCTGATGTATTTAAAAATAATACATATTTATTGCTGATTCTGTTATGTTCATATTATTCTTTAATTTACACATGCAGTATATACTTACACACACACACACCAGTACCCAGAAACATGCACTTTAGTTATATACATATACTACTACTTTACATGTACAATACATGAACTTGTTACAATATATATATATATATATATATATATATATATATATATATATATATATATATATATATATATATATATATATATATATATATATATATATATATATATATATATATATATATATATATAATGATTCACATTTCATTCACTTTTATATAATTCATGAATATTGATTTCAAGAATAATATGCAATACCCAGATCAACTCCCTTCCCCCTCCCAAATTATTAACATTTATGAAAACTTGTTGCTAATACTTATTCCTGATCCTGTGAACAGCAGGTCTCAGAGCTCGTTAAGTGGTCGAGATAGTGACAGTATGGACAACGAGGTCACGCTATCCAAGATGGATGTTGTCCTGTCATTTGTATTAGAGGTAAGGTTAATACAAAAGTCCCAGTATTGCACCAGAAGACAAAGAAGTTTGGATGTGTGATGGATCACCTGTGATCTGTAAAGCACAAGTTTACTCACTGTATTAGATATAGCTTTTGCTTATCAACTAAATAAAGTATTTGTGTTTCAGAGTTTTATGACCATGCCCAGGTAAGAGTATTTTTGTTCACAAAGTATTTTTCACGTCATATGTTACATTTGTCTGATAAGAGAAGATTTCAGTGTTTATGCCATTTATTAAGCCATAGAGCAAGTTCTATATTAAAGATATACTGTAGTAACATTACAAATCATGCAAGTGTTTTTTTTTATTAAAGTGGACACTGTGTAATTGGACTTCATTCATTTATACATATAACTAATTTTTTTTTAAATCATTCATATATTAAAGTTAACAAGTAAATTCCTTTCTAAATAAAAAAAGATTCATGATGAAGGTTTCTTTAAGAACATACCAAAAGTATTTGTTATGTATAAATTATATCAACATTCATTTCATTACAATAAAAAAAATTCCCTCAGTAGTTAAACCTCAGAATTGTGGCACTGATGGGGTTGAGAGCCTGCTGGATTTGTGAATGGTCTGCTTTTCTAAAACTCATTCTGGCAATACGCGCTCCACCTTCAAACCATAAAGCATTTCCTTGTTTAATTCTTGAGATAATTTACGATCAGATTAGAAGTGCACTATTGATCAGCATCTCCTTACAAAATTTGCTGAAAATTTTTTTTTTTCTTGGAGAAACTTCATCTTGTCAGAACAGTGTACAGTAGAAGGATTGAAAGGTTATAAAAGAAGGTGAAATAGGCATAGTTTAAAGTGTCATAGTCGTGTAAACAAGGTGAGTATACCCCATTTATACAGCAGACAAAGTGAATCAACTAACCTAAATCTTATTTGTCAAAATGATCTTACAAATATTATTTACTATGGTATGGCTGGTTTTATGTTGTCTTTTCATTATAAACTGTTTAAGCTCATCTTGTTTACAGTACTGAAGAACTTTTAGTTATGGTAGTTTTACCTTAAATTTCAATTCTCAGTTATACTACAGTACATTATTTTGGCATTGTGAATAGTTTGTTATAAATACAGGCCGAACCCTTCTAATATGGCACCAGGCTTATGTACAGTGCACACTAATCTTCCCTTCAATTACATTTTATAAAAAACTAGTAATTTATTTCACAAGTTACTAATTTCAATACAAGCCCACCAGCTATTACCATTTTTTATTATACAGTAAACCTTGTTATTCGCAAGGGATAGGTTCCAAGGATAAGCGCGAATAGGCAAAACTGCGGATAGCAACTTATACTACCTTAGTGCGCTACTGTATACCTATGCCAAACAACTAACCAGACGCGGCAGCACTCATCCTCTCCTTTAACTTGTCTAATAGCTCAACTTTCTTTGTCAGGGTCATCACTGACTTCTGCCTTTCACATTTCACTCCACTAGTATCACTAGCACTGACACTAGGCAGTCTTTTCGGGGCCATTTCACACAAACACTTAAGTTTTGAGAGTACAACACGAGATGCTGCGTGGGGTGACTCGTTGTGCTGCAGGAAAAAGCTTGCAAGCTAGCCACCATAGCCACTATCTGCTTACCGCGAATCGTCGAAATCGCGAATCGCAAACCCGTACAGGTATACAGTATATTGATAACCAGTGTTTTCTTCATCATAGACGTGTGATGTACGTCTGCATCTGGCCTATATATTTTACTCTCTCTCTCTCTCTCAAGTTTAGATATGAAAATATTTCAGTACTGTATATTAAACAACCTTAAGCATATCACACATCCCCTGCTCATTCCTAGTTCCACTTCAGATCTCTTATAGTGTTCCAATTACTCTCATGCATGACATAACTACACCAAGCTGCTTTACTCCATAAATCTTCTTCGCCTGTTACACCACCCTTTCATCCACAGCATCACTTATGGTTACTTCTCCAGATCAGTAAATGCTTAATATACTTTCCTATTTTCTCTAATGTACTTTGCAAGACTTTTTCTGAAACCTCTTTGGTTCATACAACAACTACCGTACATTCTCGTAATCCTCCATGTTCTTCTCTTGTCTTATTTTCTCTTATTTTCTTCACCCTGTAAACATCTTTGTAAACACTTTCACAGGTATGTATTGTATACTCGTTAGACTGACTCTTCCATAGCTGATGGCATCCCTCCCTTCAACACATTTGGTAGTTTCCCTTTTCTTCATGCCATCTGATGTACTCTTAATGGAAATTCTATTGTGTTTTCCTCTTCCAGTTTCAACATCTCTGCCCCAAAAAAGATCGTTAGGTGAATTTTCGCATCTCGTTCTTGGAATGGTCGCGAATCGTGAATTCGCAAGTATTGAATTTAATACCTTATGGAAAAAATAGGGTATGGTACCATGGCTATCAAGATTAGAATTTTTGTCACAATATTTTGGGTTAGAATTTATAAATGTTTCAGAGATGGTGTTGATTCTTATATGGAGTGAGTTTTTGTAATACAAATTAATAAATTTTAACAAAAATTATTGTTTCCTCTACATATAATTGATGTCTGAATATGTAAATAAGCAGAAAACTTGCATCACTTAGGATATTATAGTCTACCCGAGTAAAATCGCTTTATTTAATACATGGCTAAAGAGTAAAAATTACAGTACAGCGGTCCCTCGATTAACGAACACAATTGGTTCCACAGAATCGGTTGTTAACTGAAAATTTCATAAACTGAATCTATTATTACAATGGGATATTGGGTAATTGGTTCCAACTCACAGAAAAAGTACATACAAAGTACTGTATACCAGTAATAGAATTAACAAAACATTAAATATAAATTAAATACAGTACTGTACTGTACAGTATACTGTACAATAATAAATAGAAAACAATATTTTGAGGTGTGTATGTCGTATTCCCGGCAGCTTTGTTTACATATCAAACAGCTGATTGTAGAGGCAGTCGATGATGACATGCCATATTCTTTACAGAGTGCATTGGTTCTAATGCCTTCTTTATGTTTCATAATAATTTCTGCACTGTATATTATCAATATGCTAACTAAATTTCAGAATGACCAATAATTTTAATGTAAAAATGAAAAATTATTCAAGAGACCAACAAATTCAATGTTCACTCCACTGTAAACAAAGTTAAACTGAGAAGCTTTGGTGGGTGATGATGGGTTCACAAAAACTGTTCCCTGTACTTTCTATATTATCAATATGTTAACTAAATTTCAGAATGACCAATAATTTTAATATAAAAAATGCAAAAATATTCAAGAGCACAACTTTCTTGATATTTACTGCACCGGAAACGAATGTAAACATAGAACCAATTACTGTATTGGCAGACTAGCCGATCAGCTAAGCATGTTTCTCGTAAGGCTGTCGTTAATCAAAGTTTTGTTCATTAATGGAACTGAAAATCCTAAAGGGAGCTAATTCGTTAACCAAAATTTTGTTAATTGAACCGTCCGTTAATCGAGGGAACACTGTATTGTACTCTAATGTGCTGTGTATCAATTGTATTGTTTATTATAGCAATTTTTTTGGCCAAAGTGGCTATAGCACTACTGGTGGCAGACATGTGAATGACTGACTTCAGTTGTGTTCATATTGTTGGACTAAATTAGAATCTTTACTGAACAGGATCAAAGGGGACAACGTTCTGATAACCGGAAGATTCAGATAATTGGAATTTGGGTAAAAGGAAATGCACTGTGGATTTAATAAAGTCTGTGATATTGGATTTACCATATAAGTGAAGATATTCTGCAAACAGTGGTCTTGACATTTTTTTAAACTTTGATCCACATTTTCTCAAAACTTAAATTTGGCACTTTTAATCACTGTCACATGAAACACTTCGCATGTGAGTCATTGCATATTAGATCATCGTGATTCAGGTCATTACTGCTCTTGGTTCATAATAACAAACTTAATAGATGTGAATATAAGTTGTTTATCTGAAAGTTTCCAGATCTTGTAAACTTCGTTAAATATAAATACCATTAGTAAAGACTTCCTGAAGTGTGTACAGTTGGAAAATTCCATTCAGTTTCATGACCTTGTAAATATTTTTATAAAACTTTGTGTGATATTTTATTGTTGTTTCTTTGATTTTGTGTGTGTGGTGGCCGAGTACATGCAGTGCTTGCCTCCCGTTCCATTTCACCCAGCTGTAAATGGGTAGCCAAGTTTGCAATTTGGGGAAGTGAATGCAGTCAAGTGCAGTACCAGCCATACTGCCCCCACGTGTACTGAAGACTTAGTATACAGTGTGTTGTATCCACACTGTCCCTAATGGGCAGTCATGCCTGTAGGACCCACTTTCACTTTTCACTCGTATTTAATTGAGTTCGTAGACTCCTTATGTATGCTTATTGATTTTCTTTTAACTGGCTATTTATGTAGTGAAATTTTTGGCCCATAAACACCAACATACACTATACCCTTGTTAATTCGACAAAATAGGGGTTCTGGGTCACTTGAATTACCAAAAAATCCTGTATTTGAGGGTTGGTGAGTGCTGGCAAAATTTTTAGGGAGACTGGAACCAATCAGCTGTTAATGCTCTGTAAACAAAGGCCTGGGAATATACTATGGCACAATAGCTCTTCTAGGATTGAGAGTGGGATATTTTTGGAAAATTAATTACTTTTTATAATTTTTTATTAATGTGGCACCAAATGAACCTAAATAATATGGGAATTGTGGTGAAAGTGCAGGCTGTCATTATTAAGGGATCACGGGCTGCCGAGCAGGTGGTGGTGAGTTGTCCTCCCTCCCTCTCCCGTCACCACTCACTGGCTATGCACCCAAATGTAGTTTTGTCTTAATTCATTCAACTTAATCTATTTCATAAGATATTCCTATATTAATAATAAACTTTTGGGAACTTCACAACTGTTTCAGACTCATTCCGAATTCATATTGTTTAATTCATGTTGGGAAAAACATAACGAATTAAGCTAAAATCCGAATTAACGAGGGTGAAGTGTACTAAGAGCAACAAATTAATTTTTTATCTTTTACTGGTGTTCAATACAGCAAGTTGCCAGTTTATGTTGGATATGTTCCAAGAAAAAGCAATGTACAGTAAATGGTACTTACATCAATCAGCAACTTGCTGAACTGCATGTCAGAAACAGTGAAATATACCTAGCTGGTGCAATCTTTGGTCATATGTCACATTTAAAAATTTTGTTTCTCTGGTTATGCTACACTGTCCTAAGGGCAAAGCTGTACTGTACAAGTACTCAAAATAATATACTAAATGATTACTAAAATTTTTGTCTAGTGCAAACTATAGCATGTTTACAGCTCCTCCCCGACTTATGACCTACTCGACTTAGGACCACCCGCACTTACGACCTGCCTCAATCGTACCAAAATTTTGTCAAATTACGTATTTTAGAGTTCCAACGTCAGTACAGACAAAATTTTCGTTTGTAATTCACTTTAAAATGGCTGGCAAGCTTAAAGGTGAGAGATTTTTGTGGTGCTGAGAAGAAAAATAGACACTCATTTTAGATTTTCTATGTATTATTTAAGCATTTTCGACTTATGACCATTTCGATTTACGATCTGGATTTGGGTCCCAAACCCCGTCGTAAGTCAGGGAGGAGCTGTATATTCAAATTAATTATTATCTTATAAGAATTCCAGCAATGTAAATTATATTCTCCCTGGTCACTTCTGCGACATTTTATAAACAAATAAACAAAAAAGAAAAACTCAATCTAAAGGGCATGAATAAACAAATAAATACTTCACTAGACCTTCAACGCCAACTGCCAAAACGTGTCACTGTCACCTCCAACCCCCCCCCCTCTTCCCAGCCAGGGTTGGGTGGTCATAGGCTTACAGTTTTTATCTTATATAATATCACAGACTAAAGTTAGGAGAATATAATTTGCATTGCTAGAATCCTTGCAAGACAAAGAATAATTTGAATATAAACGTCATATATTTTGCTCAAGAGATAAAAATTTTAGCCATTTGTAATAAAATTAATTAGAACATGTCAGTTCAGTGACATTTTATAAGAGAAAAACTTAGTCACTCTTAAGGACAGATAAATAAATAAGCACTAGACCTTGGCAACAACTGTCAAACATATCACCTCACCTTCCCCCCCATCTTCCCATCAGCTGATCGCTAGTAAACAGACCATTTCACGTCCCATAATTTTAACTGTGTTGATTTATGAGTGTGTGTTTTAACATAATACTACAAAAAAAAACAAGGTTTTGTTTATTCTAGAAGATGGGTTGAGGTGCATCTGGGTAGAATCTCAGTCTTTTTAGTATTTTGTGTTTCTCTCAAGTACCAAACTAAATTATTTCAGTTAAACAACACTTCAATTTAGTGTGAATTCGGTTTAAAGCGACCTCTCTTGGAACATATCTTGTGTTATATCGACGTTCTAAAAAATAAACAAATAAATAAAATTACCCGTATATATATATATATATATACTGTATATATATATATATATATACTGTATATATATATATATATATATATATATATATATATATATATATATATATATATATATATATATATATATATATATATATATATATATATATATATATATATATATATATATATATATGGCAACAGTAGCTTTTGAGTGTTAATTAACTGACCAAGGCCACTTAACTTGGTCGGCTCTAGTATTTGAGACTCACAGTGACTGGGTTCATTGGTTAGTGAAAATCAAAATTATTTACTTATTCTTTTTATTTATATTTTTATAATTAAATATTCCAATCTAAATATTTTTTGGGATGTCTTGCTGTATGTTTATTTTGTTAGCAATTTCCACTTGATATGGTCTTGGGCAGGTATTGGTCATGGAGGTTCGAGAAATCAAGCACTTACCGGCCAACAGAATTGTGTATTGTACCATGGAGGTGGAGGGAGGTGAGAAGTTGCAGACAGACCAAGCAGAGGCATCAAAACCAATGTAAGTACTGTACTGCAATAGTTTAAATTTTTTATTACAAATGGAAAGTTACATATTGCTTATGTACACAGAAGGCCATGACCATGATAGTGGCATAGTTAACTCTCCAGAAGGTTCTTAATTGTTTGTCTTTCCATTCAGATATAGAAATTAAGGTACAAGGAACCTTCATTGATGCACATATTGTAACGATATATAATTGATAACAGTGTAGCTAACTAATAAAGAATCTTTTTGTTTAGCATCTACCAAGATTTTCACACCAAAAACTCACTTAACAGACCCATAGTGAGAGGCATTCATGCATCAATAGTTACCTCCTAATATACCAAACATTATGGTTGTTATTGTATTACAATCTAATCCTTCATTAATGGACTGTACTGTACAGGCAACATACATAGCCACTAACTGTCGGGGAATGTTGAATGTGAGGTAAGCTGCAGGCCAGCCCCTTGTATCATGATCAAACAACAGAATATAATTTTTATAAGCTATAGCTAGTTAAATGTAGTAAGTAAGTTTATATTCAATATTTACAAACAGTAGGCCCTGTATAGTGATGTATATTATAGGTGTGTTTTTGCCGAGTAAAATGTGAGTTGACATGTGAAGGTATGGTGAGGTGGTGTTACACTCACTGCACCTTATGTTCTGAAACTCAAGATAATGAATTTTGGCATTGCTTCCCTTGTCAATGCCAATGAATCTTCAAGGTTAAAGAACAATAATATAATAATAGTATCTTGGTCATATGGCCTCAAAATATCCCTGAAATTGGTCAGATTTAAAAAAAATTATCAGGAGGGGAGGCTTACAGCACCCCTCTCAACCCCACAGCAAACACATCAGAGTGCCCCCCCCCCCACCCCAGATATTTTTTCTAGATTTGCCGCTGGTTCTGGTTGATACTAATACAAAAAAAAAAAAAAATATTATATATTGTCATACTGTACATCAATGAAGGAAGAGATGCCATAATTATTTGATACTGTAAGAGATAAAACTGGGTGATGACAGTTGATATATTCTTCACACTTTGCAAACTGAGGGGCCCATGTTCCTGACGTGCCCCACACAATAGGTGGTCATGATTATAGGATGATAATATAGCATGGACTATGCATGTTTTATTCATTGACCTCCTAGAGCCTGTCCATCGATTTTCACAAGGTGTGGTCTTATGCCATCCCGGGCTGTCTCCCACGTGTTAACCATATTTTCCCAAATATTTTCTATGGAATTACACTTACAGTCCTTGCTAAGCCAGTCCAGTAGCTGCAGGTTCTCCTGACCTTTGAACCACTCCCTGACTGTTCTGGCCATATGGATGGGGCAGCAATCTTGCACGAATATGATAGGAACCTGTAGGGAAGAAGGTTTGGAGTATGGGAGATAAATACTTGCACCTGGAGAGGGTAAGGGAAGGTCCACTGGGTCATAAGGGTTACGCTGTGCAATAACAAGATTGTTTTAGCACGATACAAAGGTACAGTAACCACAAATTATTACATTTCCTTTAATATTTATTTGTGATTATTTTGTAAGCATTATGGATGTGTTAATTATTAAGAAACTTAGGCTGCTGTGTGCTAGGTGGCACATCACTATATATGCTGAACTTTTCTGTCGTTAAGTGCTATCAAACATGATACCAACCTGATTGTATGGCTTGTGACAATAAGATAGTCCTTTGAATTATTATGGTCTATTAAGGCCTGCTGTATCAATCTGTAAATGCTATGCAACCGAGTATATGTAAACGACCCAATAAATAGAACACAGACATTGTGATATCAAATTGGCAGTATTATATTCTATCAGTTGCTAAAATTCTGCCCCACATCAACTTGTGTATAATAGTAGGGAGCTCGTGCTCACTAAGTAAGAGATGTCAGTTTTATCTATCTCGTAAAATTATTCATAAAATGTTATCATAATGCAAATATACAGTATACCGTGTCTTAGCATACAAGCTCCAGAAAGGTTTCATATGATGATTCCTAATCATGACTGCACTCTTGCACTAGCATCTTCACCAAGCTCTTACACCACCTGCATATATGACTATTAATAATTGGTTATACAACATACAGTAATAAGCATATAGAGTACAGGTATTGACCATACAATTAAAACATCTAATAATTACTTAAATATGTAATATTAGGAGGACACGTTGCTACCTGGCATTTAATTGCAATTCTCAAAACCCCCTCCCGCACCCTCCATCACACGCATTGCTACCGTCATCATCTTGCCTGGCGAATCAGCTGTAAATACGCACAAGGAAAGCTCCACTAATTTGTGTTGTAATAGCTGAAACACTAAGTGCCACGAGGATTTTATATTTGGTATTTATGCATCTAAACCTTATAATAAATAATTTTATTTTTTGCACATTCTGTATGAAATAGTGTGTGCATGTAATAGCATAAAAAAGGAAGAAGAAAATTACATATGTCTACCAAAAATTACAAGTTAAAAAATAACCGCTCTGAGTAATAACTCTGGCTATTCAGGGTCTCAGAAATGGAACCTATAAGTTAATAAGATCAATATACGATTGATCACCTTTCGATGGCTTTTCACTGTCCCTAACCCCATCGTATAATGGTCAACACCCGTACGATGTCAATATTTGTAATATTGTGAGCTTGTAAGGCACCACTCCACCAGCTTCTCTCCCTGTTTTCCATCTCTACCATGAGTTCCAGAGGTCAATAAGTGAAGACGTGCAGGGATACAAATAGAATGTGCACCGCATAGCTTCTGTAATCAAAAGTTGGTCGCATTAAATTCTTGAACAGTTGATTTGACTTTTATATGAATCTGCTGACAAGAATACCCAGTCTTTTTAATTTAGAGGTTGCCATGTATTCACTTCACTTGTTTGAATACACTTATCATTTCCCTCCCTCAGAGCAGTATAGATTTAGGCCACAAAGCTTATTTATTGTGGGCTAAAGTTGTATTTCAGTCAATCTTCCATTTATAAATATTACCAATATTATTGTAAAATGCTTAACATTATTTTAAAGCTTCACCTTCAACACTGTTGCTTCAGGTGGGACACACAAGGTGACTTCACCACAACACACCCGTTGCCTGCTGTTAAAATTAAGCTCTACACAGAATCAGCCTCTGTGCTCTCTCTTGATGACAAGGAGTTGGGCAAGGTTGTTTTACATCCCACAGCGCTTTCACCTAAGGTTAGTGACACATTACTAAGTGCTCATTGTTCCTTAAAAAATGGAAGGCCTCATGTTTCATGAATTATAATCATAAATACAGTATCTGCTTGCTGCCATTCTCTTGTATGCTCAAGAAGGAATTAATAAAAAAATTGAACTCATGTTTTGACATTTTTAGGTAAGAAATGGAGCCCATTAAATTTTGAAGAACATTTTTAGTCATTATTCTGTACTAGACAGATCTGTGTTAGAGATAGAAAGGCTAAAGTTATGGCAGGTTAGGTTAGGTTAACCTTCTTTAAGCAGGCAAAATTTAAAATATTTGGTAGAGCAAAAATTTGTTGTCAGTCATAAGAAGAGGAAATTGCTTCCCTAGGATACAGTAATAGCATAAGATGATTTTTTCAAGAATATTATAGTGGTATGGGTATTGGGTTTATATACTGTAATGTGATTATGTAAATGTTCCATTTAATTTATATGTGAAGATAAGATTTATTTTTTTGTTTTTTTTCATTTACAGATACCTGAATGGTACAAGATGCAAGTACCAAAAAATTCTTCAGAAAATAACCTTAGAATTAAGATTACAGTTAGAATGGATAAACCACAGAATCTTAAACACTGTGGGTGAGTATAACACTTTTATGGCTTCTGTGTTATCTCTTAAATGATTTACAAGATTCACTTTGACAGAACCTCCCTTGCAGATCCTTGCCAGGGTGCTGACTGTATTAAATTCCACTACAGACCTTGACCAGGGTGATCTCCCTTACAGACCTTGACCAGGGTGCTGACTGTTTTCTAATGCGGAATCATTGTAGTAAATGACCAGCTACACCATGGTCGGAACACTGGTTAATAAGGGCTAAACCTCAGCCATGATCTGATGGTGTGTCAACATGTTTGCAATTCTAAGGATCACTAGAATCAATCCCTTAGCAGTTTGTTTATTCTACCACTTTAGAATGGACTCACCCATAATATTGCACAGTGATTGGTGGGCTATAAGTTCAATACACATTCAGCCACAGAAAAGTGGTAAGATTTTAGGTAAAATGTTTCAAACATCGGTGACATAATCCTCCCGGGAAGAGCAGAAGACAAGCGTGTATTGTATCGTCCATATGTCAAATGCACACATATACATATACCTGGCACAGTTCATCTGTCTTCATTATTTTGAAGTTAAATTACAAATTATAAATCATATTTTCTATTATTTAATGTTTTATATTATTAATGATGAAACATACACCATAAGAGGCTGATCATACGAGAATATAATAATGAATAAATTAAAAACTAGTATACGAGCCAAGGCCAGCCCCCCCCACCTCACCTCCAGCACATTTACACAAGTGTTATCTTTCGTACATAATAGCTCTCGTTAGTCCTACATCAAATCTGATTAGACCACTGTACAGTATCCCTATTAAAGATGATACAGTATATATTTTAATGAATAAGGTAGGCAATTAAAACATCTAATACGTAATTACTTAAATACGTAGCGCATTTTTCCTAGTGAGTCGAAGACCACTGAACCAAAATTTTATGATATTTAAATGAGAAAGGGTGTTTTTTCTGTTCATTATTCATTTTATGCCAGAGATATCTCGCATAATTATGACTCTTTTATTGATATTTCTTAAATTAATAACATTTGTGTCAAAATAGTTGTGCTAATTTGTTCATATGTTAATATTTTAAAGCTGAAATAAAACAAATAACCCAATTTTTGAACCAAAACATAATGAACAGTTAAACTGTATCACCTCACCTTAAACTTTTTTGTAATGAGTTATCAACAATCAGGTAAAACTTTTATATATTGTACACGTCACAATACAGGGGTATTATAAATTTTGAATAGCAAATAGCAATACTCAAATTGAATCCTCAATACCCAAATCTTACTGCAGGCTAATACAATATTAGCCTATAAATATATCATAAGTACCATTTATCAAATATTTATTTGTCTAAACTGGATTGGGCTGCCAGTTTAGATGTTGCTGCACATTCTCCTGACCCACAGTTTTGAAGCTAACTCGGCAATGATTGCTGCTTCTCAGAGAGTTCTGTCTCTCATAATTTTTTACTGTTGTTGGATCAGTGTATTACTAACCTTGTTACATGCTTAAAGACCTTCGTTGTTGAAGCACAGTAATAACATTATAATGACAACATCATGTGGTACTTCTCTGGGCATTTTATTCTTGTGGATATTCACAAGTGTAAGACCGGATAATCTTTCTTGGTTCATTATTGATTTAAAGTAGGTTTTTAGCCTTCTCAGGCAGCTGATGCTGATGTAACTGGGAGGGTGCATAGGTTCTTCATGAGTTGAAAAATGTTAGGATATAGCAGACCAAGGCTTTCAAGTTGCAGGACTTCTGAACACATCTCTGGGATTCTCTCTATACTCCAGGGTTGGCAAAATCATTGGTTTATATTCCTTCTACACGCACGCTAAGTCATTTTTGTGGTATCTTTCTTTATATCATACATAAACTTTACCATCTTGTCATCCATTCTCTCTATTTTACCTCTCATCCTTAACATTTCAATGGTAATTTCATTCACTCCTTGTATCTTACCATTCTGTAGGTTACTTACAACTGGTCTTGCCTTACAGTTTTCATGTTTTCTTTTACTTGTTTCATACCATTAAGTTTTCAACCCAATAATTCTACCTTTCTCTCATCTGTTACATTGAGCAGTTTTTCAAAAATTTCTCCCCCATATCTTTTCTTACCACGGTTATTTTCTACAGTATTTTTCCTCTTTCATTCTGAACCACGGGGAGGGTATTAATGATTATCTCCATTTCTTTTTCACAGTTATCTGTATGCTCTAGGAAAAAGCTGTTGGAAGAAGTGGAAAAAACGGTATTTCTGTCTAGTCCAAGTATCACAATACACATTTGCTATGTGTAGCTACAGAGAGAAAAAAAGCGAACCAACGGAGATGATGCAGCTAGATGGTTACACCGTTGACTATATTGAACCTGTGTCAGGTAATGCAATGATTTTATTAAGTAATGAAAAAAAGCATCTTATTGTTTTTAAGAAGTACAATACTCAAATGCTCCTAAAAAAATTATTTAATATAATGAATAAAGAATACTGTACAGTTATCAAGACAGCGCATATGATACTGTTTATTAAACAATGTTTACCTTTTAAGTAATTTGTCTCTAGATTCATTTAACTTTTGTTCGGTATTCAAGAACAGACAGTAGTAAATTGTAAATACAATTTGAGATTGAAAAGAAACAGATTGCAAGTCTGTGACTTGTATCCCAAGTAATTTTTCCCTTACGTTAAGGCACTTAGGCCCGATCCACCCTGTGAATTACAACCATGGAAGTCTCTGCCTGGTCAGGGGATGTTTTTGGTATTTTAGTGACCTGTTCTGTCTTCCAATTCATTTGTTTAATTACCTCCTGTCTCTCTATACTGTACATGGGTGTACCAAACATGATCAGGCATCTCTGCTATTCTCCTTTCACATTACATTTAAAAAAACATTAACCTAGAACTCCTGGCTTTGCAGTTATAAAGGACTTTATCATGGACAACCTATATCAGCACCATTACAAACATCCTTACCTAATTTAAGCATTTACTTTCATATTTTCATTGATACTTTCATGCCTCCCCTTTTAAAGTAAACGGCAAAGATGAAAGTAAGACAATACCGTGGATGATGGAGTTGCATACTCAGTATTAACAATGTTATATTCATCACTAAGTGCAAAAAAAAATCGAATTTGTTGCCGAAATAAGTGGAGACGTACTTTATCAGCATCGTTTCAGGAACTGTAAACAGTGTCGGAGTTGTAGTATGTATAACCACAGCATTAAACAGAGTAGCCACATCGAGAACTATAACTCGTTTTCCTAATTTTTGGATATTCAGTGGATTATTGTGGATATGTATGGAATAAACATCTTTGTATTTCAATATCAGATAAAGGCTAATCCACATTTATGCCATACAATAGGTTTAATATTAGTGATACTTCTATATATGTCTGTTTCTATACAGTATTTGTCTAAGTGATACTATCCAATGTTCCGTGGATTCCTGTACAACAGTAAACCATTGGAGCTGTAGAATTTATCTTCCCGTTGCAAATAGTAGAGACGACCAAAACATAGGTTGGGAATGGTCAGATAGAACACAAGTGTATTTATACTTTGCCCCATTTCTTAGATTTATTTGAACAAAACCTGCATTGCCTGAGTTGTGTTATATTGTTTCATCTTTACATCACTCTTTGCTTCCTTTGGACATATGACCCCCAAAATTTATCACTACACTTCTTATATTTGTAGTTTGATTTGTAAAGGTGTTGGTTGGTACAACCTTTGCCACTGTGATCCTTAGACACACATCCAATACAAAGTTTTAACTGTTTGACTCTGTATTTTCTGGTCATTGTGTCTGGTTTTCATTTCCACATAAATTAAGGTTGTATTTCTCCTTTTGATCTTTCTGATTCTGTGCTACACCAAGTATAACAGTTGTTCCTACTGTTTTACAATTGGCTCCCTCTAAATCAAACATTTCTGGCAGGAAAATTAAGTGAACTTTTTCAAATCCAATTCCTGATCCTTTATCCCACTTTTCATAATTTGTTCATCATGATTGTCACAATCATTTCATCTCTTGTCACAGTTAACATCTCCCGAGATTTTACAGTACATTCAGACAATGCATAGAATTCTTTGAATTCCTTCATTTCATGACGAGGAGTTATCAAATCAGTCAGGCTTATTATATATGCATTCTTGTTTCAGCATTTACTTTCATATGTTTTTTGAAGATTTATAGTTGATTGGTAACCATGTGATTCAATTGTGGGATCTTCAGCTAGTTTACTCAATTCACCTGTCAAAAATCTGTACAGGCTAAGTTATTTTTGTTTGTCAGATAACCTCATGTCATCATGCACCTGACAACTGAACTGAGCCTAGAACCCCATTCATTGCTTGGGATCTCTTATCAAACTTTGGTAGTGACAAGTGTGATCGTTTAATTGTGTTGTTACTGAATTGTGACTTGATTTAGGCATGATTAAGTTCATGTTTGTGTTGTCTCTTGGCTCCTTTACTTTACAATTCCAATTTCTTCAACTCATATTCAGCAGTACTGTACGTTCATCTCGTGAAACATTGTCGTCGATTAGTTTATGGGTGTCCTCAGCATTTAGGCCTAATTCCTTGGTCTTTTTTAATAAATGTTCAACAGGTACATAGATATCTTGCCTTTCAAATGTAGACAAATGATAGAGATATTAGAATTCTGAAATTTTTTTGCATTCATCAGGAGGCTCTATTGTTAGTAACACACTTACTAACTGGTCTAACCTAACCTAACCTAACCTAACCTAACCTAACCTAACCTAACCTAACCTAACCTAACCTAACCTAAATGTTTATGATACTGGTTTATGACTGAGGGATTCAAGTAAATCACACTAGTTCAAAGTCTGTGTCAGTGTATGTGTTGACTCATAAACACTGGTTCGACCAAACAAGCAGCATCTATTTATGCAGCAGCTTACTCAGATATATAAAAAACTGACCCAGCCTCATAATGCATATAACCCGCTGGGCAAGTTCAAGTTCTGCCTAGGGGTGTATTGACGGGTGATCTTGTGGGTCACTTGTGTCTTCCCATAAAATTTGATTTAAATTTTCAATCCTTTGATTTTATATTTATTTTCTCTTTAATACAAATGTTGTTGAGGAGACCATGCATTAGATTTACATTAATTTTTATAAAAGATTTGTGACCGTTGTTTAATGTTTTATTCTAGCGTTGGGTTTAGGTGGATTTTGAATTATGAATTTGTACTAAAGTTGTGTTTATTAGTACTAGATAGGGAAGACAGTATTGCCCAGGTTTGTTTTTAAGGGACAGCCCATAACGATCAGCTGCACTACATCACTACACAATCTACATAATTCACTACACTACATCCATTAATCTTTCTTATACTCTACACATCCTCTATACTACTGCAATTACACTATGACTGACTTTTAAGGTGGTGATTGTCCCCTTGTACACTAACATATACACTACATCAACTACATTATCAATTTTGGGTGGGGGAGTTGGTCCATGGGGATCCAGCTAATCCCCCCCCCCCCTTTCCAATTTAGAAGTGTCTTTTATGAGGACGTTCCACAATTTGGAGTGGGGGCCGACCTAAATACTCTACCTTCAGAACACTTGTGGGAAAAATGTACACCTCCAACCCAGACTTCAGCACTCTTATCTTTAAAACTGTAGTCGATGTGCAAACAGACAAACAAAGAAGCATACAGACACTTGTCTTATATATTTAGATGAATATTTTAACTTATAAATTTTTAGGACTTTACCTTTTTGGAGTGATGTTTTCCAAACATTATTGTAAAGAACTCAAAATTTATTTTTCCTTATTATATCATGATAATGCTAATATATGAACTCATTTACAGCTCAGCTTATGGTTGGAATGGGTAAGTAATGTGTTTTTTATTAAAACCATGTTAGTCATACAGGTAATAGTAAATGACATGGTCAATAAGTATTAAGCAATTGTAGTGATGATAAATTTGTGCCCTATATATACTGTGTATATATATATATATATATATATATATATATATATATATATATATATATATATATATATATATATATATATATATATATATATATATATATATATATATATATATATATATATATATATATATATATATATATATATATATATATATATATATATATATATATATATATATATATATATATATATATATATATATATATATATATATATGCTAAGATGTATAAATACCAAAAATAAAATCCTCGTGGCACTTATTATTTCATCTATTACAACACAAATTAGCGGAGCTTTCTTTGTGTGTGTTTACAGCTGATTCGCCAGGCAAGAAGATGACGGTAGCATTGTGTGTGATGGAGGGTGCGGGAGGGGGTTTTGAGAATTGCAATTAAATGCCAGGTAGCGACGTCTCCTAATATTACATATTTAAGTAATTATTAGATGTTTTAATTGCCTGTATGTTGGCCTGGCGAGTTTACTCCTGTGTGGTTTTTTATCTTATTATTTTTTTTTTTGCACATTTTGTACAAAAGATTATGTGTACATGTAACAGAGTAAAAAGAAAAAATATTTGTTTACCCAAAATTTTTAGTTGAAAATAACCTCTCTTGAGTACCTATTTTTTCCCCATAGGTTATTAATGTCGATACAGTATTCAATCGATCACCTTACAATGGCTTTTTGAAGCCACTAACCCTATCATATAATGGTCAACACATGTTCGGTATGAATATAAAACAAATAATAATTTGAATATAAAGTACTGAATGAAATAAATCATTAAATGGTTACTGTATCCTAGGTAAAAACATGCTTGTAGAATATGAGAAGTATCCTGTAACATAATGAAAATGGCTTAGCATACAACATTTAAGAAAAAGTCTTAGTGCTATGTCAGCCTGCATGGAATCTTAGCTTGTAATGTAGAAAATGTATGTTGATTACAGAAAAAAAAAATATTGCTTGGATCTGGATCAGCGTGAGCAATGAGTTTACAGCCAGATTAAGCTGGTTCCCACTCAGTCTGTGTTACATATGTGATAGTTGTGATGCTTCTCCAATGCATTATTTACATTCCTAAAGAGCTTTTTTTTTTAAGTGATTTGCTGCCTAATGTGTCAAGCAAATCGTGTTTGGAATTGTGGAAAAAGATGAAAATAATAATAATGTTTTGTAGATCATAATGGATGGCTGTTTGATTTTAAAACTGACTCACTCTTTTTGAAATGTAAATTTTATCACTTGTCACTCACACAAAACACCTGAAATCATCAGTATCATCATCACATTTAAGGAAAACATATGAATTTCTGTAAATTGTTGTTATTATTTACAGGTACGGTACTGTGTTTATTGTAGTCATTATTCTCAACATTTACCATCTTGTCCTTATAATCAGTCATACCAGGAATCTATCCTTCCCTCCTTTTTCCCATTGAACTAAGATTTAAAAATTCATCGTTTCTGCATACATGAGGTTGTGGTCCTCTGAGGCAGTCAAGTTACTGTGCTCTACATTCTTTACTTTCAATGACATAAATAAAGTTTTATTATGTTCAGTACATCCCCACAAGTACTTTATATTATTCTATGACATTATGATACAGTGATAAAATAAATATTGTACTACAATTTCTTCCTTCTTGAGTGTATATGTGTAAGGTTAGGCACACTAATGGAGGGAGGAGACAGCCTTCCTCTATCATGGCTTCCAACCTACCTCACATTTTTTCCTTTCTTTTTTCACCACTTAAAAGCTTCCTAGCTGTTCGGGTGGTTGGTCTATTCAGTGTTAGTGCAGGAGGAAACCAGAGTCGGAGAAACCTTAGATGTTTTGTAGGGTCACAACGCCCTTCTTACATGTGTCCGGGTTAGGCAGGACTTGAACCCTTGACATATTGATGAGAAATATGTGCTTTACTGCTGTACCACCAACACCCCTAACAGAGCCTAAGTAATTCAATACAGAGAAAATCATACCATTGATATGGTTAACCTTTAAACAACGGTGATCTTAAATAGATGATGAGGGCTTTCTGTGTCACAGTAATAAGGATCAAATATAAAATCAGAATTTTTGTGCACCATAATTTTTAAGTTTGGTGTCTGATTTCTGCTAGAGTGCATTATTGTGTCTCTTAGCAACTTTTCCTTCCCCTCATTGGTCCGTCCCCCATCCCTCCCCACACCAGTAGTGTTTTTGTTGTCATGGAGGCCGTATGTGATAAAGTTTCCTGAATAAAATAAAGTACTGGTCAGTGTTTACTGAATATACTTTATGATTATTTTGTATAATACTGTACAGTACTCCCTGCTTAACATCAGGAAAGTGTTCCTGGGAAATGTGACTTTGAGCTAAATAATGTTAAATGAGTAAAAAATCTCTCATAAGAATTACAGAAATGTAAATATTGGGGGAATTGTGGGAAATTTTTTCACCAGATAAAATTCAATCTCTTTATCTAGGCATTTATAAGAAGTGGAAACAAACAGTTTAATGCCCATGAATAATGATTGTAACACATGGCACTAAATATTATATTCTTAGAATTACCACAAATGGTCCTCCCAGGAGTCAGAGTGAGCCACACAGCAACACAAATTTTCACTAGTTTTCCACCAGTATTGAATTGAAATAAGAGAGTCAATTTTACACCCTAAGTAATGTGTTTTCCTAATTTTCTTGACTCTAGACATTACACTGTTACTTGCTGCATGTTTAAGAGACATTATGTAGGGCTAGCAATACTAAAATAAACTAAAAGTTAAGTGTGGAAAGGGAGCCACAAAGGAAACAATTACTATGGCAGGACCATTGACTGGACAGGAGCATCATTTTGGTAAGGTCAGGGCTGATTTGGTTAGCTTGTTTGTTTGTTTAGTAATAATGCTACTTATATCTAATTGGCAATATGATTATAAACATGATTCTATGTACAGACCAGTTTGAATTGTCCATAACTTTAGAAATTGAGAGAATTATCACTACAGTGTTTTTGTGTGTGTGTGTGTGTGCATGCACATGTGTGCATGTGTGTGCGTGCTTTGTGCATGTGCGTGCATGTAATAATGTTCATTTTCTTTTCTATAACAGATCTGGAAGGTGGAAGATTTTTCTTTAATGCCGTAAGAGAGGGTGAGTCCATATTGTATGCCACTGAAGATGAGAATGAGTCTCATCAATGGGTGACTGCACTTTATCGGGCTACAGGTCAAGCTCACAAACCAACTCCACCAGTAATGCCTCAAGGAAAAAATTCCACGTTATCCAAAATACAGGGAGGTAAGAGCAAGATATTGTTTTCTGTTATTGTATAAGTTAGTGTAAGGCCAGCAATCTTTCACCAGGTGACATGAGTTTAAATGCAACATTAAGTCTGTTTTCAATCCATAAAACTTGATAAAGGTGGCTGGGGCTTACCTTACAATCATCCCATATCTCTAAGTGAGAGTATAAACAAAGTCTCCTTTTGTGGAAATTAAGGGGAGGAGGCCTGAGTGAGTACATACATGACTTCACATTAACCAATGTACACTTCACTGCCCTGTTTAGGTCACCCTTGATGGTTTTCCAGGATTCAATCCCTATTCAGCTATTTTTTTATCTTCAAACAAACAGATGGTCTATTTCAGGGGTGGGCAGTTATTTTGTCTGGTGGGTCACATCACCATCTTAGGTACCGGGTAAGCTTCGGGGACCACACACTCTTGTCGATGTAAGACTGTAAATGTTAAATGATAGCAGTAATTATTTGATGTTTTAATTGCCTGTATGTTGGCCTGGCGAGTTAATGCTAGGCATTTACATATCTAGGTATAAAGCTAGACGTCACATTCTGGATTGAACAAAAATAAAGGATACATAATTTATATCATCATCATCAATATTTTATGGTCATTTTCCACATGTGTGAGTTACTTGATGGTAGCTCGTCATGCTGCACAGTCTCTTTTCACCCTATCTTGTCAGGTTCTTAATTCTAATGTCATTTCTTTCCAGCTTTCCCCATGTCATTCTTGGCCTTCCCCTGGCCTTTCTCCCCTCCATATTTAAACTCATGCAAAACATCTCAAAAGGTATATACCCGTACTGTACATATAGTGCAGTAGACTTACTCTTGGTGTGTCACTACAAATTTAATATCATATTTCTTGGTTAAGCCTCGCAGCTTTGCACTGCCTCTCAATTAGTGGTACAGTTTCTCTGTAACTTTCAAGCACTATGAAAGCTCTTAAGCATAAAATTATTACTGCGCAACATCCATTTCACTTGATATGTTTGTTATTGGCTTATAATCGTTATGTATAATTTACCAAAAATTCCATTTGAAACTTGTTTTGTAGCAGTATAAGACATTTTGAGGATTTTTTTCATGGTAATGGATCTCCGCTTTTATTTTGAGAGTCTATGGGAAAATGAGATCGAATTTACAAAATATATTTAAGGAATGAAACCCTTTTATAAATTAGGGACTGTCTGTATTGTAGTAATTTATCAATGTAAGAGATCTGATGCAGAAACCTCAGTATATTTCATTATACTGTTTTTGCTGCTATTCTTTGTTAAGTGATACACATTATAGTCACCAGTTGAATGAAATTAAACAAAAATCTAATAAGAATATCCCAAGTTAATAAAAAAAATTAAAAATGTTTGAATGTCTTTTCATGAGTACTGTTAACTACAGATGGTACAGCTCCCAGGTACTGATCAACAGCCCTTGACAACCATATTCTTAATGATACGACTTTTACAATATTATTTTTATTTTATTTTTTTGCAGACGCAGACAAAGCGAAGAAACATGGTATGGATGAATATATTAGTGCCGATCCCGTTAGATTTGATCACCACAACCTTTATAGAGTACTACAAGCTCAAACACTTGAATACCGTCTTGTTGATCCCTACTGTTCTCTGGTAAGTTCAAAGCATTTATACAGATTGGCCAAGGAAAATATGGACTCATTTTCTCCCTAATTTCTCCGTTATATTGGTCCTCGGATGATAGACTGTAAGGTATACTTTTCTCAGGCCATAACAGAGTTATGTACAAATATGGAAATTATTGAACTGTGATCTTGCAGAGTATAAATTTGACTGCTTTACAAATTAATAAATTGTAAAGGTAGACCATCTGGCTCTGGTTGTCCATACAGACACAGCCATGAGTTTAAATTACTCTGCCTTCCCCAGTTTACTGTATACAGTACTGTATATCTTTTCTGTAGCCACATTATTTCATTTGACTAAAGCTGTTTCCTGTGTCTATGCATGAATTCAGCTGAAAATTTCAAACAAGAAACAACATCAAGAAAGCAAATGACAAATTATCCATTAGTTTCATGCTCTGAGCCAGTCATTCTTAAACTTTTTCTTCCTTGTCCTCAAGTTGACTCCTGACCCCTCACCTTCCAATGAGTTGATCCCTGACCCCTCACCTTCCAATGAGTTGATCCCTGACCCTCACCTTCCAATGAGTTGATCCCTGACCCTCACCTTCCAATGAGTTGATCCCTGACCCCTCACCTTCCAATGAGTTGATCCCTGACCCCTCACCTTCCAATGAGTTGATCCCTGACCCTCACCTTCCAATGAGTTGATCCCTGACCCCTCACCTTCCAATGAGTTGATCCCTGACCCCTCACCTTCCAATGAGTTGATCCCTGATCCCTCACCTTCAAGTGAGTTGATCCCTGACCCTTTGCCTTCTTGGGAAGAATAGGATAACCTTCCATTAAACTAATCATGCCCAGATAATTTGAAGAGGAGAATGATTTTGTGAATGAATGTCACTTGCAAGTACAGATTGAATTTCTCTGGCCTGGCATCTGTTAACATTGCTGGTGGCATTCTTACCATGTTAGACTCATCAGTGTGACCATATCCCCTTAGACCTCTTCCTACCAGGCTGTTATGATATTTTTCAATTCATAATTTCAGGTAGATATACAAACCTTCTTCACTTTTTCCTTTTTTTTTCCTACGAAGTCATATGCACACACAATCCTACATATACAAAAGGCAAAAAAAATTAACACAAGGTCAAAATATAAAGGGAATATATATTTCTTAGTATGCAAGTTAGCACGCTGAGCAGAGGGGTAGGGAGATGTGTCTACAGTGGTAAGTCTAACTTGGCAACATTGCCAACATCGATGTTAATAGACACAAACAAAAATGAATTTATTCGTAAATCTTCATTTATAACAGATGTTTGTAGATTTAAAGTGGCATACACAGTGGATGAGGTTCTTCACTTTGTGTAGCAAGATAAAGAAATAACTGGGTAAGATGGCTATTCATATCAAGATATTTTTAGGCAACTTAGTACTGTATCTTATTACACACTAAATTACATATTCTCTCTCATAAAGTGGACTTTATACTGTGAACTTCTTGAGGATGTTAAGATCCTGATAAAAGTTTAAGTGCATGAGTACCTTTTGTATGTTTTTGTAATATATTTTAATGTTTATTTACATATACATATGTGTCTGGTTAAAGCTTCTTATTTCTACCCTTAGGGATGGTTCAGTCCTGGTCAAATTTTTGTATTAGATGAGTACCAGGCTCGGTATGGTGTACGCGGCTGTTATAGACATCTTTGTTATTTGGAAGACCTCCTAGACCGAGCAGAGAAGGGCCAGATGATTGACCCAACTCTCATCCACTACTCCTTTGCCTTCTGTGCCTCCCACGTTCATGGAAACAGGCAAGTAATCTGTTTTGGTTGTAAATTTATGGCATGAAAATTAATGACCTATTAATGTTGGTCAAGGTTTTTATTAGGGAGTGATTTTTTAACTAGTTATATCAATTCTATTCATAGGTATAAATGACAATGTTTGAAATTTATGAAAAATACTGGTGAATTTCATTATATAATTACAGTACCATTACTTGACTAAGAAAATTTGAAAATGTTGGTTGAATAACTGAAATTAATGTTACCCATATTAACCTATTTATTGATGCTGTGTTTTAGTATGTGGTTGTCTTGAAGTGAATGGATTTAACTACAGTATTAAGATTTGGTTTATCAGGGATTTGTTCACATTCAGTAAGATGAATTCATTACGGATACAGATAGCTAAGAAATATATTGTTAAGAGTCTGTTTGCTAATGTTTTAACTGTAAATGATGTTCACAAAGGATGATATTTGGGTCTCTATGTACAGTTATATATTTGAGAACTTATTTGAAACAAACAAACACACACACACACACACACACACACACACACACACACACACACACAAACAAACACATCTGCACTTCTCCCGGCTCCTTGGTCTTAGAGGGTGGGGTTGGTCACATGACCCCACTTGATATGTACAGTTGCAAACAAAAGTTTGCCCCCTCCCTGGGCCTCCCAAACTGTAGCAGTATCAACCCCCAATGAGATAAAGCAGCACACCTGCACCAGACTACAATCATGGTAAGTCAATTCGGAGACTCGTTTCTGTGACCCAATCTGACCAAGAGGGGTGAGCTTTTGCTCACAACTATACATATTAGGAAGGAGCCAGTTGGTGTATGTGCAGTGGATGATATCTTACAGTATGGAAAGTTCCAGTAATATGTAGATAAGCAAATGTAAGACTGTGCGATGCCAGGATGGTGACACACCGTGGTAGTGTGCTTACACACACACACACACACACACACACACACACTACCTATTGCAAGACAGAAACTGGATAAGGTTACTAATGGATTAAAAAAAGGTTATGTCACAAAGTTGTAGAATAGCAAAAACGTCTTTAAAAATGTGATCTCAGAATGTGGAGTGTTCTGCTGCTTGGAGCTAGCAGTGGGGTGGCAAAGAACAGCTTCCTTCCCCACACCCCCTGCCCTACCATTACCATGTACTGTATTACAACAGACAAAATGAACCAACCAAATTATATGTTTTATTGATCTTACACTCTTTAATTAAAATAGGTTTGATTTGGTTGTTAGTTGCTCTATTTTAATCATAAATGGTTTTCAGTTAACTTCTTTATAGAATTCTTGCACTTATGTTTGATTCACATTAGTTTTAGAAGTTTCCACTTTTTCTACTTTATTTTATAAGTGTTTACTCTTTCTCTATTATTCTGGTAAGGTAAATATTTTTCTAAATGCAGTAACAACAAATACTGTACACTTGTGATTTGAATAAAAAAAAAAATTCTTAAATCTGCACAACACTAAACTGAATTTTGTAATTGCGTCAACCTGTTAATGTACTTGTGACATTCGTTTTTCTTCGCATTACTTGGTCCTTGAATTATTTATTCATTTTACAGACATCAAACATGAAGGGTCCTATAGAGTTTCGGAATAAAAATTATCACTTATTACCTCGTGAAAGATAGTATATATTTTTTGTCGTAATATATTGTTATCACTTAATTTAACTTACCTGTACTGTATGTAACTAATTGGGTAAGTATCCTCTAGATTTTTCATAATGACTGACCAGAAAATTCAACCTATATAGCTTCCTGAAACTCTTTGATTACCTTGTAGCTCCTTTAAGATGTATCATTCAGGAATGTAGCTAAATGTTTCCTTGTACTGTATATAAGGTACAGTATAAGGAGAACCACAGATTCTAAAGTTGTCCTTATTCAACTTGTTCTATAATATTTGATCCTTAGACAATGACCAAGACAGACATCGGGTATGATTTCAGTTGGCCAGTCTAGAGCAAAGTAAGAGTACAATGCCCCTATGTACATTATTTCCTATTTACAACTGTGTTAATCCACAATAGCTACATAAATGTACAGGCTTATGAAATTCAGTCTATTTATCTGTACAAAAATCCAAAAAATTTTGCTTACTTTTTACCATTTACCTTAAGGTCCTGCCATGAAAGGTACAAGATGATGTGAATGATGAAAAACCATAGGCTTAGTTATTGACTTTACTTTATCCTCTTCATCATGTGTCAACTTACAAGCTGCTTGGGTGGTCGGTCAATTCTCTGTTATGCATGGATAGAAAGTACAGTACTGGGTATGTACGGGCTCTTAAATACACCTGAACTAGCTCCAGTGTTTGTCTAGCCTAGACATAAAAGTAGCTCACACTCAGTGTTCTCATCGTACTCCCTGGCAGGTTATTCCAATAGTTTGCAACTCTTACTCCAAAGAAGTTAGCTTTCACATCTTTCTGTATGGTAGCTTCTTTATCTTGAGACTGACCTTTTGTGAAGTGGCCATTCACAAACTCAGTTACTGTATTTTACGGCATATAAGATGCACTTTTTTGTCTGAAAAATGGCTAAAAATCAGATATGTTTGTTAGGAAAAATGGCAGTGTGTACCTGCTTCTATAGAGCAGTTGTGTTATTTGTCTATGTGTTATTGTTTTGAGTAAAACATCACAAAAAGGTAAAAAAAAAAAAAATATGATTAAAGGACCAAGTAAGTTAAAAGAAAACCAAATGTTGTAGATACACTGAAAAGTCAACCACCTTTCACCAAACAGGCAACTGTATGGCAGACTGCCTCTGCCTGTGAGGCAAACACTCATCAGCGCAGTGTATTCAAGATTGGTAGATGTTTAGTGTATTGGTAAATTTCAGTTAAATGGAACTTTAGTACTATACTGATATTGCAAATATTATTCATTATTATTTCTAAACAACAAATCAACTATGAAAATAGTATATTGTGGAAAATGGCCTAGCCGAAAAATAAGATGAAATTGGCAAACCAAGTAGTTTTGACCATTCTCACTTTTTTCACAGTTTACATCGATTCTATTTTAATCTGGCAAGTCGATTTGTTGATCCTGAATAATACCTACTAATATATACAGTATAATTTTTTGGAGAATCATTTTAATTGACTGTCACTCAACTGAACATTTGTTATCCTGAAACATTGCACTGTATCTCATCATGCCTCACTGTGACAACAGTCTCATTACTGAGCTTACAGAATATAGGCTCCATTGTTGTTATTATGCTAATGATTTACATTAATTGAAATGTGGTTACCAAAGTATTTCCAGTCAGATAGTACAGCATTCCAGACATGCAATTGTCAGGTAATTTTAAGTTCTACTGTAACTCATCTCCAATCTAAACCCAATCTAAGAAATCTTGGCAAATACGATTACAGTAATCATACCCAGAAATAATCTAGCACTGTCAAAAAGATATGTGTATGTATTTAAATCCATAGAACCAAAAAGATTGAGGCAAAAGGCCTGCGTCATAACATAACTCACCATTATACTTTATCTATCTATATTTCCCAACCTTTTGCTGTGTCACTGTGGCATGTTGAGGGAGCTACTCTACAATTTACAGTTCCACGGTTCCTGCAAATAAAAACAAACCATCACTGAACTATTTCTGATATTAGCAGAACTGAACCGTTGAGCGATGGTTTGTTTTCATTCTCAGGAGGTTTGGATTCTGGAGCAGCTCCCTCAACTTGCACATTAACATAGCAACAGTAGTGGTGGTTGTGGTGGGAGATATAAATACAGTAGGTAGAATCAGTAGAATTTATCATGCAATTTTGCAAGCATGAATTCCGCATGCTTTCCTTTTGGGTGCTGTAAATGCTTATGCGCTTCGCCTTGCGCAGGATGCAAGGGGGTGCCCAATAAGCTAGCCCCCTCATGGGGCAAATCAGAAATCTGGATCTGGTTTAACATGTACAAAAACAATGTAGGCAAGCACACAATTGCAAAAAATGGTGATGTTTTGTAATACTGTATATGATTTAGAAAGTATTAAAAACATAAGTATGTCAGCTGATAGTGGCAATAAGGATAAGTAAAAATGAATGAAGAAAATAAATTAAAAGAAACATACTTCCCATTTAGTATTATGTGAGTATAGTATGTGCCTTCCGTTCTCTCCAAGTTGTAGATGTGTAGATAATAATCTTTCTCGTAGTACCATTACCTGCCAGCTGATAATATAAGCTAAGGTCACTGGGTATATTATAACATGGACTAACCTTTACTTCCAAACTTTTTTGCCCATTTATTTTATATTCTGTTTGCTTTCTTTTTTATTTAAGTGTGTATTAGTAGCTGGTATAGTTTAGTGGGAGAGGTGTTGATAGATGTTGGTGTACATGTACAGTATTTGTTAATTAGCAACTAAAGTTATGAGTTGTTGATGCTTGTAGAAACTTGTTTACTGATTTATTGGCATTTATTTATTGAACATTTTTATTCCATATTTTATTTATAAATCTTCATTCTATCAAATATTATTTTATAATAATAAAACTGGCATCTGAGTGCTGTTGATAAAACTTGTAAACTGTACATCTAACTCTGCTGTGATTGAAAAAATATGTGTCCTATGAAATGGTCAGAATGTTGCCGTACTATACAGTACTTTGTATGATAAACAGCTTCATTTTCCCAGCTACATTTTCAATCCAGTCCTGTTCTTGTATTTACTTTTGGCAGCACTAGATGATAATTCCACTTGTATTGAGGAAGAAGAAGGTTAACTACTACGTATTCAGTTGCCCTGGGGCAATTATGTGTGATAGCTGGTTCCTTAGGACCCAAAATTTTCTCATGCTTCATAGCTTATGATAGCATTTTCATTATCTTGATTCATCATTAATAAGAGCTAGTAATAAAATTGAGTGTATGTTAATCTCCTCTTCATTTTTCAATTCATCCTGAATTTGTTGAACAAGACAAAGTTAACTTTACCTAATGGCCACCCAGTAGAGGTGGCCATGCCGAGGGAAGGAGACCAGTGACCTGTGTAGGATCCCTCCATTGTTCTTGATAGGTTTGTCAAGGGCTATTTTGAAGCCCAGTACTGGTTTTGATTCCACAACTTGGGCTGGCAGATCATTCCATAGGTCCACCGACCTCTGTGTGAAAAAGTATTTTCTTACCTTTCTTCTGCATGATAACTTGGTGAGCTTGTAGTCATGTTCTCTCATGTTGGTGGTGCGTGACACCACACATAAATGTCCCGGGTTCACGTTTTCCATCCCTTTTAGGATTGTGAATGTTTTAATGAGATCTGCTTTATTGTGCTTTGTCTAAAGGGATGTTAACTTACATGCTAACTTAGCTGCATTAGAGTGACACTTATTGAGAACTATCTAGAAATAGACAATTTGCTCCATTTCTGCCCTTCGTGCAGGTTGGAGCCTGCAAACTTTGACAGCACAAGTCCAACATGTTTAGTAATAAAAGTACTGTACAGGTACTGTACATAGAAGAGGCTTAATTCAGTTACAGGGGATGAGAGGATATTGAACCCTTGAAAATACTCAACATGGAGTCCTTACTTGGCCTCACAGGAGACAATTTCTGAGGTGGAACAGAATCGACAGGAAAATTGTGTGCATAGCACTTCAGTTTTAATTGGTGCTATTCCTCATCCTGAATTTCCTTCAGAGGAGCTTTTTCATCCAGCAGGGCAAGGATGCCAGCCTGTTCCTCACCTGACATGTTCTTAGAGACTCATGGTCACTGTTTTTAAAAACCCATGGTCACTGGTCTGAGAGACTCATGGTCACTGTTTTAAGAGACTCATGGTCGCTGGTCTGAGAGACTCATGGTCACTGTTCTGAAAGCAAAAATTGGGCTAGTATCTTGAAGTTTACCTGTTTTCTGTCATCAAAAACTGATGCAACCACCCAGGATACAGCTAAACATTGGCCATGCAGGATTCTTGTACATGAGGCCTGAGGCACCATTGAGTTGGCAGATGGCAAATTTCATGCCTAATTCATTTCAGCAGGCTGTAACTGGGTTCTATTTTTAGCATAGAGATGCTTCTAATTACATAATGTGGATCATATTTTTGGGGGGACATTGTATGAGAGCTCATCTGGTGGCACATTGAAGGTGAAGTTATGATGTTTTGTTTGGATTATGGCAGTGTAGCAGGAAGGACCCTGCAAGAGGGAAACATGTCTACACTCATGTGCAGTTAATTTGTATAATTTCTCTTCTTTGTATAATCTATTCTTGTTTTTGTATTTTGTTTTTTTTATGCTTCTTTTCCCCTCTTCTTACATACTCTTACTCTTTCTCTATTATTTTTTATTCTATGTATTACATCGCAAAGTATTTGAATATGCCAAATCTTGATTATTCTCTTGTGTTGTGTAAGTTGCCTGTGTCCACAGTTATAAACTAATTATTTTTAAATTCTCACAGCTGATTGGGTTAGATCTCTGTCAGAACTGTTGGCATACTGCATCAAGAATCAAGATTTTGTCAAGTATTTACTATGGGGAAACATTTCTCGTATTTATTTATACTTTCATGTATTAATTTATGCTGAGGTATTTTAGGAAATTCTTTATTCATTTTATAAAAAATTCTAACATAGATATTAAAAAAATTTTGCCGAGTCTTTTAGAGAATTGCATGTATGGAGATAATTATTGGCTTAGGAAAATAAGAATAAAGATTCATAGGCAGCCATGGGGGATCTAGCACTGTTCTAGCTCACTGTACTGTTACTAACAACTTTCTTATCCATATAAAAAAGTCATGTTTCTCCATTTAGTGTTTGAATTTTTTTGTTGTTGTCTGTATATTTCGACAGAATACAGTAGTGTTTTCTCACCAGTGTATGGATACTGTTCTGTTAGTAAATTACAACCATATGTGGTACAGTACAGTCTTTCCAACAACATGTTATATTTAAGTAGATTTTCTTCTTATCAAACCTTCATATATATGTGACTAATTAACTCTCTCTCTCTCTCTCTCTCTCTCTTTCTCTCTCTCTCTCTCTCTGTCTGTCTCTGTATATATATAAATAAATATATATATATATATATATATATATATATATATATATATATATATATATATATATATATATATATATATATATATATATATATATATAGTGGTTAATTTGTGAGAAATACTTCAAATACTTCAATGTACCAAAATCATAAGTTTTGTATTTCACATAGTTTTGTGCTTTCCACTATTTTTATACAAATTAACCACTGTTTTTGTATGTGTGTGTGTGTGTGTGTGTGTACGTACATATATATGAATACTGTATATTCACCAAATAATTGTAAGGAGTGTATACTATGCGTACGATAGTCTTATTTTTCCATATTCCCTAACTGATGAAAATTTGTGTGTTTCTCTATGGCAGTCATCAAACTGTAAGGTATGTCTGAAGAAGTAATTTTATATATACAGTATATATACAGTATATATATATACAGTATATATATATATATATATATATATATATATATATATATATATATATATATATATATATATATATATATATATATATATATATATATATATATATATATATATATATATATATATATATATATATATATAAAGCATCAGCAAACTTCTGGTATTCTCAGTCCCAGTTAACCACTTTAATGCCTGCAAATTTGAATTTATATTAAATATTTCAATACCCGTAGTTTATTCGATTAGTGAACCAAATATATTGGTTTCAAGTTAAAGATAATTTTCTCTAGTATCTCAAAAATAAAAATAAAAGATACAGTAAATATAATGTTTAAATATTTATGATGTTTATCTTTAGTCTTTGGCATGGGAGTGATTTTTGGGTAAATAGATAAGGTGCCATCAGGCCTTCTTAGATTTAGTTAGAGAAATTAAATGGCCGAAAGACTTCAAACACAGCACCATATTTGGCCAGCTGCCCTTCACTATAAGCCTTTGGTCTGAATCTAGGAGATGTGACATTAGTGACTGGAACTAATCTAATTAATTTGTAAACATCCTATAGTGTAAGTACAGTATTGCAATATAGAGAGGAAGTCAAATGAGCATGAGATGTCACACATCACACCATTCTCACATATTTCTTATTGAAAAGTTGGCTGCCCTGTTTACTCTACGCACAACTTTGTAGACAAGTGTTTTGTCTCTGATTATTTTCTTTTATAGGGCAATGATCAAAAGGAAATGGCCCTTGCTTCCTTTCCTAAGAGTCACTGATTCATTCATAGGATACCCCCAATTGACTAGTTTTGAATGGGTACCTGACTTTGTTTAAGAGGAGTGAATTTGGTTAAGTTCAAATACTGGCCACACTGTCCCCTTGTGTACCAAGGCTTTTCAATGTGCTCGATTTACATCATCCCCAATGGGTTATTAGGCCAATGGGACTAACTTACATTTATAAGTTGTTCTGGAAGAGCCACACAGACCTCAGTATTAGGTAAAGTTTAGTTATTTCATGTTAAAAATGTGTTTTACAGTTTGTTGAAGATCCATTTTGAGGTACAGTGCTACTATTCATCCTACTCTGAACAGGCATCACCATTATGTGACAAGTTACCAGTTTATCTCACAATGAGCAAATCCAGTCTTTCTTTTGAAGGTTTGTTTTTATTGACCAACCTGCAAACAGAAGTGAATTTTCTTGCTTATGCCAAAATAAAATTGCAGTATTGAAATATTTGTTATACAAGTGGTTTAGGAGTTTCACTAAGCTTTCCACTTCAAGATTTAACAGATCTGTATGTACTATTTTCTGTTTGAGAGGATATAGGGGTCTGTGTCATGTTCCATACAGGAACTTAAAGGAACCACCTTGGGAGATCTCTCATTGGGTTGAATTATTCAGTGTGAATTTGTCATTTTCCCCAAATCTGGATTTGCCCCTCCATACATGTGGTTCCACTGGGTGGGACTCCTATAGAAAAAGTAGTTTCAACACTTTGATCTCGTGTCTTTCATACCAGGGATGAAATGATAAGGCTGATTAATCCTCATTATTTTAATTACTTTTATTGATGTTATAATACATTGTTGTCTTGTTACACTTGTAACATGATATTACATAGATATAGATTTGATTTTAACTCTCTTGAGGTTTTTCTTTTTTTCAGATGAATTAAAATTTTATGCCCTGTGTATTCTTGGTGTGTGACAGTTTGTTCCACATTATGGACAATCATAAGAAATGACCAGTTCCTAATACTGTACATGCTTTATTTATTTATTTATTTTTTATTTATTTTTACTGTTTTATTTCTTGAAAACATGCAGCTTGTTTCTCTTACAATGTCCATTTTTTATTTATTTATTTTTTATTAGTGAGTGTTTGGAAACAAGATTAAAAGTTCAGAAGTCTTGTGTCTGCTTTACAGCACTGAGAGTATGATGATGACTGTGTGGTACCCACACTGTCCCTAATGGGCAGTCAGACCAATGGGAGACTTACTTTTTTTACAGTTTTGATTTTAAAATATTCCTGGTAGAATTCCTCAGGAATTCTTCTTGTAGACAATATGATCTTTCGTGGAAGCGAATTTTTATTTACTTTTTACTTTTATCCTCTTCACCACTGACCTGCTTGTCAGTTGGGCAAGCCTCAGGCCACGTCTTATTTTCTCATTGATGAATGAGACTTCGAGTGTAGACTGAAGGATTTATACTCTCGGTTTAGCCAATGGATGATGGATATTATTATGGAATAGACTAATGAACAGACAAGTTTTCTTGATAATTAATCTAAACATGGATGTTACACAGTCTGCATTTCCTATAATCAAGATTCTAAGACTTTATAACCTGGTAGCACTTAAGAGCACTTTCTCAGGGATATTTGCCTCTGTGATGTCATGTGCTTATTGAGCTTCATCCCCCTACTGTCAGTGAGCAAAAAGTCTCGGTTTTTGTTTACTGTATTATTTTTTTTGAGGCTATACAGTACTGCAGTTGTTGCAGGGGAGGTTTACTATTTGTTTAATGTTTATAGCAACAGAATGGATACAGCTCTTATCTCCTGTTTTAAGGTCAGTGATTCACATCCAGGGCATCATCACTTCTTTCAGTTGTAAATGGGTACCAACTTTGCAGTTAAGGAAGTGAATGTGGGCAAGTATAATGCCGACCATACTGCCTCCTTTTGTAAAGAATACTTAGCATACAGTGTGCTGTATTTACACTGCTCCTAATGGTACAAATGGAACCCACTCTTAATTGATTTTTTTAGTTTATTCTTTGTCAGTGATGATAAGTCTCTTAGATGCAGACCAATGGCTTAGTGAGTGCTTTTTACTTGAACTGCCTAGTTCAGGGTTCAATAAAAAAAAAGAAAAAAGGATTTCAAGGTCAATCATTCCTTTATTGTGCAGATTTCAAAAGAAATGGTTGGTATAGGATGCAGTAATTTATATTTGTTCTTTTATGGCAGTTTATTAAGAGAAATGTCCTTTGTACTTCACTGCTTACTGAGTATGTTTCTTGAGCAAAATTAAATTTTTTAGACTATTTGTGTGTACAGTATATATATATATATATATATATATATATATATATATATATATATATATATATATATATATATATATATATATATATATATATATATATATATATATATATATATATATATATATTAATATTATGATTGTATGTGTGTGTGTCTATGATGCTATAAAGGTGAAATATTAGATTAGATACATTAATTTAGATATGAATAATTGATATTGGAAATCCCATTTTATGGCTGCATTTATGTCATGAGACTTGTGATCTTATTCTTCAGTCTACAGGTTGTAATTTAGGATAATCCCTGACTGTAACTGGCTGCAATAACTTGGACAACTATTCCTACCTTGAAAGAGAAGTCTCGAGGCAGAAGTTTATCACTTAAGGCTTGAAAGCTAATTGTGTTTTAGTGTTACAAAAGTTTGGATTTCCAGCACCAGGTCTCAGTCCAGCTAATCACCATAACAAAACCTTGGGGGAGAGAGGGTTCCAAAACTTCTTGGTCCAACACATTCATAAAATAGGATTTTCACAATTAATCTTTGACTTCTAAGTTTTACATTGAGCCAAGGAGACTTGAGTCATCAGCCAGCTGGATAAAAGAAGGAGACTGCAAAATTAACTACAGTGTTACAGAGGATCTTCACCTCATGTTAGAAGCAATTGAAAGTTATTGTGCAGAATTATCAAACTATCCTTGCAAACTATCCACTGCCTCACAACATCCTGCCTTATCTCCTTGGCCAGGTGGTGCCTAATAAAGGTTGTTTCCAAAGAACTGGCACTCTTGAAGAATTGACTTCTAAAATGTTCCTCTCTAAAAGGCTAACAAAGTTGTAAATCCCCCATCATTAAATTTTGCTTCTGGCCTGTAGGCCTGATGTGTAAGTTTAATCACCTCAATTAGATTTTTGAAGATGTTTGCTTTTGGAAACTGTGCAGAATGGCACTTCAGGTGATGTAATGTACCATGCCTGTCAGCCAAGATGGCTATAATACTTTTAAAACTGTATGTCCTTTTAATTTAAAGGTACAGTAGTTTGAATGTCTTTTTATATTTTTTTTGTTTTGTAAAATATCAGAGGCTAGCAATAGTTTTCAATTTTGTTAAAAAAATTTTTATTAACTCTGGAATTAATTTTTTTGTTCAATCCAGAATGCGACGCCTAGCTTATACCTAGGTATGTTAATGCCTAGCAATAACTCGCCAGGCTAACATACAGGCAATTAAAACATCTAATAATTACTTAATAAGTAATACAGTGAGTTCTGCTATAACACGTGTTTTGACAACGCGAATTGGCTCTAACGCGATTTATGAATAGAGGAACGATATTTGTATAACGCGAACGCTTGTTTGCTGTAACGCGATTTTTGCTTACTATTTCTCCAATTTTGTGGTATTAACTGTGAATATGGTAAAGAAGAATTTCTCCAAGAAGCTTTCTGGTGATCGCATTCCTGGTGATGATCGTAAAAGAAAGGCTATAGCCCTTGAAGAGAAGCTCGATGTTATCTACCTCAAAATCACCCTTCTCCCCCATCAAGTTATATTCATATTTTTTCAAGGTAAAGTGTTACATTTACTGTATGATTTCATTATTAGATATGAATGTAACATTTATTTAGACTATGCTATCCTTTGTGTTAGGCTAACTACTAAATTTTTTTTGATTTCGAGTAGTAATCTGCACCTAACCCTATTTTCTCCATAAGCCCTGTTATTTCTATTACGCGAATTTCTATAGCACGATGTTTTACAAGAACACAGCTATCGCGTTATAGCAGAACTGACTGTATTAGGAGGACACGTCGCTACCTGGCATTTCTTTTCAGATTCCGTTAATGCAAATTCCATAATGAAGCTTCCATATCTCGACTGCTTGTAACATGAGCTGGACATATTATACACTAGTGGTTCTTCAGACCTTCTTATAGTCTATTACGCTCCTATGCTACACTCCTTGAATCCTTGGAATTATCTGAAAAATATACTAAAATCAATTTAGACCTAATTTAAAATCTCATAATAGGTTTAAAAATCCCATTAGAAAATAGGGTTAATGAAAAAAAGGTATTAAATTGAAAACAGCTTGTGTTAGAGTATTCTAACTCAAAAGATTTCTCTGGTATGCCCTTAATAAAAGGGTCTTACAGTGAACTCCAGGTGTTATAGACCTGCCGGGTAAAACATTTTTGTTGGATGACATTACTCAGTCCTTTGGTTTAGGTTGACATAGAGAACTTTAGTCCTTCCATAAATGTTACAGGTACTGAGTAGTGATGTCGGATGGGTAATAGCACTTTTATCTGCAGTCGGTCAAAACCTTATTGTTTTTATTAAGAATATTCAGTCCTCTCCAGTCAAACACATATGAAGTATAGAAACATACACAAAATCTGTTGTATGACAAATATTATGTGCAGACTCATTCCCCCATGAGAAGAATCCCAGTCGTCCTTACCATGAGCATCCATGATAGGGCTTCCTAAAAAACATATTTAGCTTTAAACCAGGAATTGTTACCCCATGGACGAGACACTACACTGTTAGACAAAATAGTATCCTAAGGCATTGGCAAAGTTACTTCCACTGCGAGTCCAAGTTCTACCTTTAGTCATGAGTGAGTGGCCAAGTTGGCATCACAAATAACCATCGTTAACAACAACAAAAAAACAAAGTTCAGATCATCACTATAATTGAAATAACTGCTGCAATGTAAAATAAACATATATCCAAGAATTCACCTTACTGTACAAATAATGCAGGAGTTGTATGGTATGGATCTCTCTATCCCAAAGTGATAACTTGGTGTTTAAGCACAACAAAGATATGTTAAGAGGTTGAGTTGTTTAGTGATCTGTCTCCTTGAAGTGAGGAGTTGGATGGACTGCAGCCTAGTGATAGAAATCCAGAGTTACACTAATTGTTTACATTGGTGCCAGCCATTATTGTCATGTGTTAACTACTTTGGTTACAACCTGTAGACTTATAAGATTATGAGTTTCCTTGGTATTATTAAAAGCCATATTAAAGCTTTTTATGGAAATTTGATGGTTATCTTTGTATAATTCTGTTATTATTCTTTATTATCCTTGGTAGCTATCCTGTTGAAAAATTAAACTCGACATAAAAATTGGTACAGAAATCAATGAAATCCCAGTACAGTATCTTTAATTCCCTTACTCATCTGTGTGTCAATATGGTTATTAGAAAAACTGTGTGATTATGATGAGGTACTATGAAGTTAGTGTTTTATGAGAACTGAAGGTGAGGAAATGTTTATTATTTACTAAAAAACAAAAAACAAATTCCTTTAACATATTAGAGAAAAAAAGTTTCCTTAGCCAGTGGCTGCTTTCTAATATGAAAGCATAAATATATGTGTTTTGCTATAGACACATGACCTTACAGGTGTAAGTTAGGGGTAAAAGGTCTGGGTATCCACCTTTTTCATGCTCTAATTATCACACCCTTTTAATTTTTCAACAGATTACTTACTTAAAATAAGATTGAATATTAGTAAGTTGTATGAAAATAGCCTTTAAACTACTATGTATGAAGCAGCGAGCAACAATCACATAGTTAACTTGATACACCTGACACTTTAATTGCACCAGTACTAACTGAACAAAACTTCTTCTCCTGTCATAACGTTTTTGTTCAATCCAGAATGTGACGTCTAGCTTATACACTATACTTGAGAATAAATTGAATACAGGACGTGGGTGTCGGCAGATGTAAGTTGATTTTTCATTGTGCCGTATTTGTTTAGAAAAGAAAATACTTCCATTTATCAACACTAAATATTACCAGGAAAGATTTCTGTATTTTGTTGATAATGTGAAACCTAAGTGAAATTAGTGCATTGAAAATATTGTTGCCTCTAGTAACTTTTAGCTTTCCCTTACCCAAGTAAGATCAGGTTTACTTTATAAAATGTAAGATAGCATACTAGAGATATGCTTTATTAACTAAACTCACAATAATTTAACTGTTACTGGAGAATAAGTTCCTCCTATACAGTTGCAAATTCACTGGTAATAAGTGTATGAAAAATTTATGTAGTTCTGGTGAAAATTAGATAATCTCATCGGCTGACAGTTTATGATAATGACTTCAGTGACAAACTGTATGGTAAAGGCTACTATATATAATATTGCCTTAATTTAGCTTACATAAGAAGTGTTAAACTTGTTTGTTTGGCATCATCAGTGGAAGTGAAGATCAAGATAAATTGTGATTGTTGCTACAGATACTGGACAGTATAGTAGTTTGAATTTCCATTAAAATTTTAATACTGTATACTGAAATATACAATATTAAAAGAAATTACTGTATTTATTAAGAATATATATATATATATATATATATATATATATATATATATATATATATATATATATATATATATATATATATATATATATATATATATATATATATATATATATATATATATATATAGTAAAACATTGATAATTCGGACTCATTGGGGAAAATATAGAGGTTCGAAAGATATGATGTATGATGATTTTTATTATACAGTACTGTAGTTACAATACTGTGATGTACACTTAACCATTATGACTTGAATAGAGTATACTGTACAGGTATGTGCAATCAAGATGATAAGAAAAATTATATATATATACACACAGTATATAATTTATTTTATTTTTTTTTTTTTTACAGTAAAACTGCACAAATAAAGTAATAACTAAAAAAAATATTATATGGGAAAATGTGTGATGAAGACAGTAATCATTTAAGCTTGTTTTGTTATTGTGTGGACTGAACCTGTACTGTATTCTGCCATGGCCAGGGTGAACCTTGAGCTAGGATGGCTATTCTGAGTAATACTGAAAGATGTCTTGGCATGTTTAACTTCAGAATTTTTTAGCTAGAATTCATTGGCATGGACGTACTAAAGGTGGGGTGGGGCACCTTGAAGAAACTGTTAATCTTGAGCTCACTCACTCAAGCTGGGGCACATGCCTACCTTCACAGCAGATCAGTACAGCACATCCCAATTTCTCATTTACCCAAATGATGTGCCATGCTATCACATGACCCACATGTCAACCCTCTTAGTTGACTCGATGTTTCCTTTATGGCCACTGAGCCTGTGGGTACACGTATAATCATCAGATTGTCAGATAATTATGCCGAATCACTTAGATTATCTATGAGCTGGTCTTAATGAACAACTTGGTTATAACAAAGTGATTATTACATTGAAATTAAACATAAAAACAAGTTGGAATACATTACCCTAAAAGTTTCCAGTTTGCACGAAAATTTATTGAGGAGGTCAGATAGGGTCTAACTATTTTGGGGAGTCCAAGATACTAATGTCCAAACTGCTAATGTTTTACCATATACAGAGTGGCACTTAATTCACCTTACTGAGAAAAAATATATTACTGTACTTAAAGGTTCTCACTAAAGTGATTTCTGTGGCATATATATATATATATTATATATATATATATATATATATATATAAATAATACTGTAGTTGTGTGTATGTATGTATGTAAAATATGAAAATATATTATATTAAGAATAGATTGTAAGAAAGTGAAATGATAATACCTGTATAAACAATGGGTAAAGGAAAAAAATGTGAATGAAAGACATTTAAGAAAATGAACAGCACTAACCACACACTAATAATTATTAATTGTAAAGAGTATTTAGTAGTGTAGAAGAAAACAAAGAAAATCTGTAGTTAAGTACTAGAGTAAGCAAAAAAAAAATTTGAGTTAAAAAGTGTGAGAGGATGTAGATGATATAGATTGGATGAATGCAAATTTGAGGCATTGAGTAAAAGAAGTGGTGTGTTGGTGTTGCATGTACCTTTCCAAAAATATACATTTGTGACATTTGCAAAATAACTTTGAGGAATAACATCTGTGGGTTGTGACTGCTAATACAGCCATTCTCCCCCCTCCCCTGCGTCGCCCCCCACAGCCCCGCCGAAGATGGGACGGTGACAGTAGGGTTAGTTACACACACACTCGTCACCCACCTGCCATCCACACTCCTCACCCATCACCATATCACAGCTCCTCTTGTTCAATTTGCTATGTAGCATCCATTTAAGATTTGTGTCACCCAACTACAGGTGTATTAACTATTTGTATTTAATCAGTTTGGTTAAATAAGAAGTTTTTTTTTATTATTATTCTGTAAAATTTGGAAAGGCTCAGGGCCACTTAGGTAACATAGAATCATCTTTGTGCAGTACTTCTAACATTATTTATCTTATTAAGAGTTTTGAATACTTTATTTAAAGTATTAAAGTTGATAGAGGGGCTGATAATATGCATGTGGGAGCCTGGATGGAGTGGCTACTCTGTGCTGTTTGGAAGTTGCAGCCACTCTCACTCCTTTGCTGTCTGACCTGCACTATTCCTCCCTTACCTGACCTAACTTTATATTCTAGTGACATTCAAAATTACTGAAATAAATTGTATTAATAATATGAGTGTTAAGACTTTCTGTGATCATTTTCAACAAAAGTTGGTTGTGTTCACTTGTCCTCATATTTTCTAATGATAAGCATGATAGATGTGTAATATTGAAAGTCACCTGTACTTATCTTTTGGCCTCCCGTGTTTCAAGTTGGTTTTTTGTTTTATCACGGTGGTTTTGGTAAACCTAATATCTTGTGATTTCATATGTTTAAGCTGTAGTGCTTCATATTTGGTGTTTTGTATTTTTTTTGTGTCAAAGGTTAAAAGGTGAAAAATAAAATTAATCTTTCTCATTTAAAGATAATCTCAGATAGATTTGCCTAAATATTTGGAGAAAAATCTGTGTTGATTATTGGCTCAATTTTATCATCTATATTAAGAATTTTAGATGTATGTGCTTTTTTCACCTTAAGCATTGATTTCTTAATCCTCAGAATTACTAATGCAAATTAAGATTTTATAAGATATTGGATATTTGACCTCTGTCCTTTGACATTAGATTGATGCTTTCAACAGTACAATACAGTACAGTAAATGCACAAATAGATGTTTTGTGTCACAAACCACTCTGATGATAACAATTTGCAGTGATAATCCTTAGTGTATCCCTGCTATTTTGCACACTAATTGGCTGTAGACAGGAAGTGTACTATGTCATGTACGACTGTAATGCAGTGTTGTACAGTACTGTATAATGTGTACAATACGTGGCCAACAGGACGTGCCACCAGGTAGAGGCCCTAAGAAAACAGCAATAAATGTACCTTGCTATTATATTATTGAATGAGTAGAAAACTTATTTCAGTGTACAATAGAATCATGAGACTAATTGCCAGTAGCACTATAACTGAGAGTGGACAAAGTAAGAAGTCCAGTTGTTCTTATTCATAGGTGTTGTCAGTGGTTTAATTTCAGAACTTAGCTTACATCATACCGTATTAAAGCTGCATTTAAGCCATGAAATGCCTAAGGAATGCAGTCATATGAGTAGCCATATATATATATATATATATATATATATATATATATATATATATATATATATATATATATATATATATATATATATATATATATATATATATATATATATATATATATATATATATATATAATGAAAAGCTACACTTCATTTTTCTATCGTGGTATGAGGAGAATGTAATTTTCAAGACAATAGATAGTGTTTACTTATATAAATATAGTTTGAAAAGCTTATTTGTATTCTGTAACGCTTGCTAAATAATTATTGGAGAGAGCTGTACTTGTGGAATGTATGTTTCCACAATTGCCAAAATTTTATATTTGCTACCTGCTACATTTCGCTTACCTCTGTAATCCAATAGGACTAAGGAGCTTGTTGTAATGACTGTTGAAAAACAGCACAATATTTTCATATTTTTTTCAATGTTAATAAACTAAATATTGACTGTATAATAAATGAGAATATAAACGTAAGTCACAGGTTGTTAGCATATGATGGTGACCAATAAGTTCTCATCTGACATCATTCTATCTTCTATCCATAGCCAAGAACAAACTCAAGGCCAAATAGCCCCTAACGTACCATTTCCAACAAGGTTTGTTATATGATAAAGTAGTATAGAACATTGAATTTTATGGTAACTTAATCTAGAACAATTTCTCATTTATATAGATGCTAGAAATACACAACACATTTTGGATATTTTTATTGGCATATGGGTAATTAGACTGCCAGTGTTTTGGGTATTTCTTTTATTACCAATGGGAATTGTCATGCTTACTGCAGATAAGCATTTCACTGCAATTTTTCAATCATCTTGTTCACTAGTCACTTTTGCATTGTGCACCAGTAACTTGAAATGTCACAATTGTCTTTTATTAAAAAAAGAAGAAGAAATATTTGAAAACTATTTGAGTGAGTTTAGGTGTTCTGTATACCTTACTTTTTAACATAGCATTATATGTATTATAATGTTTATAGAGTACAGTACATTGCTGTAGCTTACAGATTTGTGGTTTTGAAATACCTGTACGTACTGTGTTGTCGCAAACAATGTCTTCATTCCAAGTTACTTATTATTGAATTCAAAACAACTGGGCATCTGTGAAGCATCTTGGGAGTGTGCATGGTAGTGTTATATCCTCCCCAAACAACTAGTGATTTGATCAATGTTATATCTGCAGTTTCTCTCATTTCCATACTAAGACTGAAACAAAAAGTCAACCCTTTTCTTCTGCAAATGTTGTTTCACAGACGTGGAGACAATTTTTTGTGCATACTATTTTCACACCTCTATTATGTCACTTTTCTTACTTGTTTAGAGATACTTTTTTCTTTTTGTCTTCTTGAATTATGTTCTTAACTGTCCTTCCTTATATACATAAAAATATGACTTGTCTGATAAGTGACTGAACACTGTGTTGTGTTTATTGTAATAACTATTGCATTTTGTTTGTGAGGAAAACTACAGTATGTTTTACTTAATTTTATTAACTAAACCACTTAATGTTGTATAACTTAAAGATAAGAAACTTCTATAAAGAAATGCCTAAATATATGACCAGGTACACTAAGTGTCATATTGGGGAGAACAAAACTTATATAGTTTTTTGGGGTCACTAGTTCTTTAGTTATGCCACATACATATGTGCACCCCAACCTTCTTTCCCCCCTACTTTTCCTAGGCATGAACAGAACCACAATGTTCCAACACCACAAAAGAAATCTTCACAGAGCCACAATTAGACTAGCATAATTCCTGTGCGTTTGGATGGTTTTTGTCACCCATGTTACATGAGTGTGTGTATGTATGCAAGGTGCCATGATTTCTTTTGTGCGTGAGTGAGCCCAGGCCCTGGCATGCCGGGTCTTGTTAGACCTGGCGTCGCCGTTCCCCCGACTCGGTGGACAGAGGTTCGGGTGGCCCCTACTATGCGGCGGCGCCACTTGTGATTATGATTATCATAACAATAATGGGTGGTGAGTCAACACCTCAGAGACAAGGTCACTCACCTAACCTATAAAGCAGTGATGGTATGCCCAGGGGACAACCACAACTTATGAAGAAGAAAAAAAAAACTAAGTCCCGCTCACAGAGGCACTATACCATAATTATCTTGCAAATAACTGCTACCAGGGATGCTCAGTAAAGTTCATAACTATACAGTTTGGACACTGAGGGTCTCTGGCAGGGTTGATATGTTAGCTTGCAGATGATGCTCTGATGAATATCTTTTTGTAACTAATTCAGCTGATGTGGTTGGGAACCTGTACCAGACCATGTGCTTCAACGTAATTTTAAACCATCTTGGATGCATTAGAAACTCATCAACATCAAGAATGATGCTTGGCAAAAATATCACAACTGCATGGCAGGTTTCATGAAAAGTGCATCGATCATGTCTACTTTGTTTCATTGATTAATTTTTGCTTGATGCATCTTTGTTTACCATTAATATTCATGACACCTTAGATTAAGGTTATAAATTACAAAGTATTAAAAAGAAGGAAAAAATAGATTGGTCCACAAACAGTACAGTACTGTATATTAGCTGCACTGTATAATGGTAGAGTTTACAGTATGTAGTTGATTGCTTTAGAGATGATATTACATGTTTAACATATGTTCTCAAAATGATTCATTATTGACTTATAAAACTCAGAGGATTTACAAGAGCTGATCAAATATGAGCTGTTTTAACATACTTTTTGAAAATAAGTCTCATTGTGTTTATAATTTGAAGTAATCTTCTATTGACTCCATTGTAATTATAAGACTGGTATCAGAATGATATATGGAGGCTTGGGAGCTTTTATCCCCTGCTGTAAATTTACACAGGGTCAGCCAGTGAATATTTTGGTACCATTTATGATATAATCTTGACTTGTTTAGTATATATATTTATATATACTGTAGTGCAATTTGTAACCAATTATAATATATTTACAAGGTTTCATCATTTTAATATTGAAGGATTTTATGAAATGACCTTCACATTTGAAAGAAACTGACTGATAATCATCCAAAACTGTAAAGAGTAACTCAGCCGACAACACTCAGATAATCCCTCCCATCTTTACATGCCATAACACAGTCTTTTAACACAGACCCGATGGCGTGGGTACCGTCCTGGCAGAAGAGAAGGAGCGCTTCCAGGTTATTAAGGAGAGGTTAAGAGTCTTACTAGAACACCAGATTACAAATTTCATGTAAGTAGAATAATGACAACTAGCCTCGCTGCTCTATCTTTACTGACAAATTTTTTTCTCTTTCATTTACTGTTAATTTCCTTCTTAAGTTGACATTATGTGTTTATTTTGTATTATTTTAATACATACATGTTACCTTATCAACAGGTATTGCTTCCCATTTGGTCGACCAGAAGGTGCCCTTAAAGCCACATTATCCTTACTTGAGCGGGTAAGATATCTATATACATTCTGTATTTTTGCTTTTAAAATTAATCATATAGAATGAGAGAATAAAAATGATAAGGTGAGGTGAGAATTTATATGTTATTATTAATTATAAATTATAGGATGTCAAATATGTTGTTGAATTTGTCTGCACCCTTAAATATAATCTGTAGGCAATTCTTCAATGAGGAATATTAGAGAAAACGTGTCATATATCCTGACAGTAACAATTTCTTTGTTAAGAGAGAGGGATTGTGTGTCCAATAAGATTACAATGGAAGTTGTTCTCATTTAATCAAATGTCTTAAGCTGTCTCAAAACTTGGTCAGTAAACTCTTTAAATACTTGGGGAATATCATCAGAATCCAGGTAAGTCAGGAAGGCCAAGAATACAACATTAAGGTTTGGGGGTGGGGGAAGGAGGGTAGTAAACACTGCTATGCACCTCAAGTGTGAAATGTTACAGGAAAGGTGCACAGTATATGGGAGGGGAGTTCCCCTCCTCTAGCGAGAGGGGATGTGAAGTCTTCTAAAAAGAATTGATAATTAATAAATCACAGGTGACACAATCTGTTTTGTTCTGTATATAGTACTGTGTGTGTATCAATTTTTACTTGTGTGGTGTAGGTACGCTGTCTCTCTCTCCATTACATAAGTAAACTGCAGCATTCTTATGATATATTCTGGAATTCTCCCGTGAACATGGATATCATAACTATTGTTAGCAAGGGCTGGGTCTAATAGAAAATAATGGGCTTTGGAAGTGAACCCCTGAGAGGCATACCTAAAGGGTTTGTGCTATACAGTAGGTACAGGCATCCCCCGCATTACGGAAGGGTTCCGTTCCCGGAAAATTGACCGTATTGCGAAATTCCGTAACGCGAAACCTATTTTCCCATTGACTTCCATTATGAAACTGGAGATGCATTCCTAAGGATTTTTTTTTGGCCCCCAAAAAGTAATTCAAGCACTTTTATTAATGAAAATAAACATTTATAAACACATACAATACAATACATTAAATAATTTATGATATACCTTCTTAAAACACCAATTTAGGGGTTAATATTGCATAATATTGCATTATACAGCTATGTGTATGTTTATTTGAGTGCCCCGTCATAGGAGTCAGTTATCTCTCACTTCAAAGCCGCCTGAGTCGTCCAGTTTCTCTTAATCTTAAGAGTGCACCAGGGACTACTGTTTTATTTTTAAGTGGTGACAGAATTTGATATTGCAACTGGGGTTGCATTTGTTGAGTCAACTTAGTTATGTCTGATTACAGTTGGAATATTCAAGATCCATTGTGAGTGATGTTTAAAGCTTCAACTGTCTTTATGGCGGGTAAAACTTGTCAGTCTGAATGGCATGTGTGAGACCTTGTGTTTGTACAACTGCTAAATATATAAATATATAATGTTATGGTAATTATCAGAAACACACATAGGCATGACGAGGATTATTACAAAGTGATGAAAAGGATACTGTATAGTGGGTAGTCCACAAAACATGTGCTAGCCATGTCTCTATACAGTATTACCCCGCCTAACGCAGTTTCACTTAACGCGTTTTATCATATACGCGGTGCCTCGCGAGAGCTGAACTTTCACTTAACGAGGAATTTTTCATCATATACGCGGGAAGCGGCGCGGGCACGATGCGCACAAGGTCGCCCAGTCATCAAAACATTACCGAGTTCTTCACCCGCCACCCACCACAGCCGGCCCAAGTCAGTGATAGTGATAATTATTGTGAGGATATGGACTTATATGGCCTTTGAGGGGTTTGACAAAGAGGCCCTGCAAGCCTCTGTGGTGGATAGTGATACAATTGATACAAGTGATACAGGTGAGGGCCAATAATCTGCCCTCTGCCTCGGAACCAACCCCCCATCCCCGTGTGCCCAGCCATCTTTTCTACTAATGCAAGTGTTAAAAAACCTAATATTATTGATATTTCTCTTAATTATTAATTGTGTGTGCATACCATCATAAAGTTAAGATAAAATTTTTACTACAACATAGTTGTGTGTCGTCAAAAAGTGGAGTTTGGGGGTCGGGCCAGTCTCTATTGGAATTAATCCCATATGTTCTGTTGTTCACTTAACGCGGTACCCTGTGGGTTCAATTGACCGCGTTAAGCGGGGTACTACTGTATTTGAGTGCCCCGTCATAGGAGTCCGTTTTCTCTCACTTCAAGGCCGCCTGAGCCGTCCGGTTTCTCTTAATCTTAAGAGTGCACCAGGGACTACTGTTTTATTTTTAAGTGGTGACAGAATTTGATATTGCAACTGGGGTTGCAATTGTTGAGTCAACTTAGTTATGTCTGATTACAGTTGGAATATTCAAGATCCATTGTGAGTGATGTTTAAAGCTTCAACTGTCTTTATGGTTGGTAAAATTTGTCAAGTATGTCAGTCTGAATGGCATGTGTGAGGCCTTGTGTTTGTTAAAATTTACCCCAATTTCCGTAAGGGCGGATTTACGGGCCGTAACGCGAAATTATTGGTCATAATTTACAAATTCCGTAGGATGCCTGTACTGTATTAGGAATAATTATGGAAAACTGTGTTATGGAGCAGTACCTCTGGACACTGGCATTGATGCTTTCCTTGGAATTGCTACTCCACTTAACAACACAAATGTGCATGAAGTTTTTATGCCTTAACGTTTTCATACGTATATCTGTGTGTGATCAATTAATTTCCCCTTTTTTTTCTTCATGATACAATAAACTAATGGGTAGAGAATGTAAACATAAGAGCTAAGCCTATCAAAGTAGGTTCATACTACAGTATTTCATACATCTGTGCAACAATTCTGTACATATTTTTATTCTAATAATTAAATTATAACCACATACCTGTACAGGGTATATGTGCAATATAAGGAGGCCATGTTTCCCTATACGTACTGTAGTTCTCTCTTAAAAAATTAGCCATGTGTGAAGAAAAGGACACTTTAAGAATGCAGTACTGTACAGTTGAGTCTGGACTTACGTGGTTTTTGTTTACGTGTTTGGTCATTTACGCGGTGCCTTGCTAGAATGAAATGCTTTAATTACGCAGTAAATTTGGTCATTTACGCGGGTGAAGTATAATTTGTTTATTTACTGAAGATATTTGTTTTAGTTCATAAAATTCATACAAATTACCCGGCCAGAATATAATTTACATTGCTGGAATTCTTATAAGATTGTGATTATTTTAAATATAAACATCATGGAATTTGCATTAGACATACAAATTTTAGATTTAATGTAAGAATTTTGATTAGAAAGTGCCAAAATTTTATCTTTTGTGCAAAATATATGACGTTTATATTCCAAATATTTCTGGTCTTGCAAGGAATCCAGCAATGTCAATTATATTATTCTAACTTTAGTCTGAGGTATTATTTATTACTAAACATGTAAGCCTAGTGTTTTCACCCAAACATTTCTCAGAGAGGGAGGAGCCAGCGTGAGGAGTTGGGCCCATTATTTGAAGGGACATTAACCAGTGACTGTATTTCTCTTAAATATTAATTGTGTGTGCATACCATCATGAAATTAAGATGTTATTTTTACTACAACGTAGGTATTGTGTCGGCGGAAAAAGTGGAGTTTGGGGGTTGGCCCAGTCTCTATTTCAATTACCCGGTAATCCCATATGTTCTGTTATTTCATTTACGCGTTTCTCGTTTTACGCGGTACTCAGCGGGTTCAATTGACCGCGTAAATGAAGACCCAACTGTATACAGAACAATGAACAGATGGTGAAGGTAAAAGCAAATATTTTGCATTTACAGTACTGTACCTTTCTTGGTTTTAGTTCCAATCCTGGATGGAAATTCACTGTTAAGTAAATGGCCAAAAACAATGTTAGGTTGATTTATTAATACAGTATCCGGTAAGTGTAAAAAGTAATTTATTTGTAGTTGTGGTATAAACAGTCTCGGGTTTTTACACTGCCTACCTGCAGAGATAAAATCAGGTTCACTGTCATTTACAGTCAGTCCTCAACTTACGACGGGGTTAGGGACCGACGACCAGGTCGTAAGTCGAAAATTCGAAAATAGTACTGTACATAGAAAATCTAAAATGGGTGTCTCTTTTTTGTCTCAGCACCACAAGAACTCTTACACTTGCCAGCCATTTTGAAGGGAATTACAAACGAAAATTTTGTCGGTACACAGCGCGATCACTAACGTCGGGACTCCAAAATACGTAATTTGAAAAATATATTATACGACTGCGGCGGTCTAAGTCGAGGAGTACCTGCATTTAATGTACATGGAACATTGATGTTTTGTTTCTTAATGGTAAATATGAATACAGTGTTTATTACTGGTATTTAAAGATGAATAAAATCTTTATTACATTGTTTTCTTTACTGAAAGAAAACTCTTTCTGTCTACTCAGAGAAATAATGTTTTATGGAACATTGATATTTTGCTCCTTAAACTGTGGCCTTGAAAAAATTTGGTGATCACTGTATGTGCAAAAATTGTTTTGTTTTGTTTTTCAATTTGTAAATAATAATAAAATTTCTAATGAAATTATTAATAATCATGCAGAATAATTACCATATACCTTTACTGCACTGGTATTCACAGAATTTTTTCTTTACTGCTTTATTGATGTTTGTTTCCATTTAATAAGACTAAATAATCTGATGGTCTTCAGGCTACAAATCACACCAGAAGTGGTGCACTTCATGGCCAAGATCATCCAAATTTTAACTTTCTGTTCGAAATTAAACATCGCCCTCTTCTATTTTTCACTTGAACTGAAATGAGAAGCAACTGTTGGTAAGTGGTGCATGTGATAAATTCAGGAGGAATTGTGGAAGAGGAAGTATCCTTGACTGAATGACACTGTGACTGTAACAGGGAAAGTGAGTATGGTACTGTACAGGTATTGTAATTCTATTAGTGGGGCGGTTGATATAAAATGTTTCTACCTAAAATGTTTCTACCTTGGCTTTTCTTGTGATATCTAGGAAAATGGTAGTAATTAAGTTAATTTTGAAATAAAGAAATCAAAGTACAGTATAAAGTCGCAAAATTGCCCAAGTATACTGTACTGTATTTGTATTTCAAGTGCCGGCACAGTAGAGAAATTTTTTTTACCAGACATCAGGTGACCTTTGGTCCAGACATTTCTGTGGTTGAAAGTGCTGACCTCTATACTCCGTACTGTTGTAATATCAATATTTGAATATTTTGTCATAGGTGCTGATGAAGGATATAGTGACGCCCGTGCCGCCCGAAGAGGTGAGAGGCATGATCAAAAAGTGCCTAGAAAATGCTGCTCTCCTCAACTATACTCGTCTTTCTGCCGAAACCAAAATTGAGGGTAAGTGTATGTATACTTTTGTATTAATTGAAATTTAGAAACTAAATCATATAGATTTGCATTAATTGACACCTGTAGGTAAAAAAGTTAAAATTCCCTTGAACATGGAAGTCATGCCCAACTTGTGTTCTGGAATTTGTGATTGTTTACTGATGGTTCATCATCCTCATCATTCATGATGGTTGCTCTAATATATATTATTAGAAAGAAAATATAAATACTTGTTTATGACTATTATCGTGACGATAGTCTCGTTATAAGTGTGCTTGCCATATCCATGATATTACCAGCTCTTCATGTACAGTACTGATCATTGCATCTGTATTACAATGTAACAATCTTGCCAACACATAGCTGGTCCCATTAACTCTACAGTACAGATAAAATGGTCTCCAAGTGATACAGATGTTGATATCCAGTGCAGAGACTACAAGACCATGTTTATTTTCCCAGGAAAACCATTTTCCACTACACCTGATCACTGACAAATAGTTTATACATTTATTCCTAGGGATTTTGTCTATAATTGCCACTATGGTTACCCAGTCAAGCATGTTTTTGAACTTGTGAAGATTCTGACTTATCATTTTTTTTTATGAGGGTAAGAATAATAAATTCACCCATTATTTAAAGATATATTCAATTCGTATAGGTCAATGTCATAGCTGAGAGAATTTTTTATATCTGTAAAGTACAGACAGTCCTTGCTATAAGAAAGGGATGCATTCTGTGGAAGTCTTGCACAACACAAAAGTTAGTAGATGTTCATTTATGCAACCTACCAATAGCAGAAATCACTCCATGTGAAGGACAGATCCCTGACCTTAAGACCTGGATTGACAAAAAAAGTAGTACAGGTTGTACCTCTCTAGTCCGGCAACCTCGGGACCTGACCGGTGCCGGACCATGGAAATTGCCGGACCATGGAAATTCACCCTTTTCCTGGATAGATAGTGACTTGTGCTTATGCTTGGAAGCACTAGCACCACTTTCTCTGCATCATGGTCTCTTTGAAGACATATTGAAGGGTTAAATGTCGTATAGTAGCTTCTCAAATTTCGCGAGTTTTTAATTCTTAACGTATTTTATTGGAACACAAAAAAATAAATAAATAAAAATTTTGACGGCGGAAACTTGAATTTCGACGGGTTTGAACAGCCCGCCAACGTGCAGACGACGTGCATAATCGTGTAAACAGCGTCATTTCTCTTATGTACAAAAGATTCATTATTGTTTATTACTGAATGTCTTTTTTATTGAATTAATGTTTATGTGTGCAAAATGAGCAATACAATTCATTAATAATACGTAGAATATTAAAACACACGAGGAAATGACACAGCATTGTTTTCGTTGATTACAAAACCAGTGACTGACTGGTTCTACATATAAAACTGAAGAAAATAAGACCTTGGCTGTAGCTGTAGTAAAATTAATATGGTTGTTTTAAGTAATGTTATTTAATGTTAATAAATGGAACAATAGAAGTAGCTAACGATAATGGTAAAGAAAAAAGAGAGATCGCGTATGTATGTGCGCACACGTGAAAACATATCGTCATTACTTTACATAAGAATATGAAAGCAACACTTATTTACTGTTCATATATATTTTAATTAATGTTTCTGAATTTGTTTTTATTGAATTAATGTTTGTGTGTGCAAAATTAACAATACAATTTATTAATAATACGTGGAATATTAGAGGAGACGAGACGGCTGCCGGCATTGTTTATGTTAAAGCTTACAAAACCAGTGACTGATTGGTTCTACATATAAAACTGAAGAAAATAAGACCCTGATTTTAGCTGTAGTAAAATTAATGTAAAAAAATTAATATGGTTGTTTGAAGTACCTGTAATGTTATTTAATGTTAATAAATGGAACAATATAAGTAGCTAACCATTAATGGTAAAAAAAAAGTGAGACTGCGCGTATGTAAGTGCGCACATGTGAAAACATATCGTCATTACTCTACATAAGAATATGAAAGCAACACTTATTTACTGCTCATATATATTGAAGGGTTAAATGTTGTACTCTGTATAGACAAGCAGAGAGAGAGAGAGCAGCCGAACTGCCGGATGTAAACAAACCTTAATTTCCCGCGGCTTTTTTTTTTTTTTTTTTTAAGGGGATTAGCCCACCCGGGCATAGGTCACTGACCCACATTGGGGCCTGAGGGGCAAAAATTTAATACTCCTGTAATAATAATAATAATTCAAAAAAAAAAAAAACTGCCTATCTACCTATTGGACAAACTAAAGTCGTTCCGGACCATGTGAGTTTCCGGACCACAGAATGCCGGACTAGAGAGGTACAACCTGTACCTGCACATTGAACCCTATTTAGTGGAGTGTCGCAGGTTGTAGTGTTTTGGTGTGGCCCAAAGCAGCTTCGGCACTACTTTTGAAATTGGCATGACAGAAAAAAATGCACTTCAACAAAAACATGTAGGGCATAGTGAATATTTTCTCTGATTTATAGACTTCATATAATGTATTCAAAAATATTAAAACGGGAGAGGGTATAGACGGTGGAAGATCCAGCTAAAGCATAAGGGGGGATCTATAAAAACGGGCACCCCATGAAAACTTATTTTAATATGCACATTATCACATATGACTGTATGCTGCACTTCAGTGACCACTAGAAACAAAGTATTTCTTACAGATGGAAGAAAATGTATATCATTGGAACTATTTTATTTAATACTAACATAAATACAATATAACTACCAAACAATATATGCATGCCCCTGCATATATGTCATAATTGTGTATTAAAGGCATGTAATACTTTATCCTCTTTGCCATTGATCGATCTGTTAGCCACTTGAATGGCCAGTCACATCTCTGTTGTCACTGTACTGGGCATGCACTGGTTCCAGAATGTATCTGAACATTCAGTCCTGCTCATCATTTGTTGCAACCCATTTCTTGAAATTCTGAGATTTTTTTTACTTTGTCAACTGCTGTATGTTATGTTTCATATGCAATGGTCACTTACGTGTCCTGGAGCCATATTAGGTTTGGTCTTGGGTATGTAAACTCCCCTTTCACTTAACATGGATTTGTTCAATGTGGATTCACTTGAGCGTGGTTTTTTTATTACTACCCAGTATTGCATGACATGCTCGAACATGGGTTGAGCCAGGCTAACGTGGGGAAATTCAGCTGAATGTGGCCAGGTAGAAATGTTTTGGTTGGGCCAACGATCGATTTTATTACAGTCCATGGGTAATGTCACTGACCAGCAGTCGAGCAAGCAGTGTGTGATGATTAATTGCCCAAAATTGTCATTTGTATCTGTGACAAGTGAGATACCACAGGGCAGTGTATTGAGCCTGTTGTAGTTTGTTTATTTCATAAATGACATGGCAGAAGTTATACACTCCTCCATACAAATGTTCATGGACGATGCCAAGTTATTCAGGAAAATTAAAAACCAAACAGACTGTGAAGAGTTAAAGAAAGATCTCTGTCAGGTTCATGTTTGGTCAGAAGAATGGCTGTTAAGTTACAATGTCATGTCATGAAATGCAAGAGGCTGCACCTAGGTCATACCAACAGTAAGGAGGCATGTCACATGTTCCAGCAGGATGAAGAAGCAACATTAACAGATACCAAATGTGAAAAGGACCCGGGTGTTATGTTGACAATGAACTAAGTTCTCAGACCATTGTGAGAAGAAGGTGAATCAAGCAAGTAATCTAGTGGGTCTTATAAGAAGGGTGATCGGATACCTTGATGGTCTGATCCTCATAACGATCTTCAAAGGTGAGATCAGTTGATTAAAAGTGTTCAAGGAGGGCCACCAGACTGGTACTTGTGCTACAGCACCTCAGGTACCCAGAGTGATTAAAATGCCTGCAGTTGTCAGGCTTATGCAATAGGCAGGCAAAGAGTGACTTAAAAGAAGTTTATAAACATCTCAGAGGGTGCTACTCAGTTGAGTGTTTATACCTGGAGCTGGTAGATACCCACCCCACTAAGGGTCACAGTTTAAAGCTGAAGAAGCCACAATTTCAGAAAAGTGCTAGGACAAACTTTTTTTGGAGTGAGAGATGTGAACTCTTGGAATAACCTTCCAGAGAGTGTTATGACAGCACTGAGTGCAATCTCATTGAAGACCAGACTTGATCAACACTGGCACAGATACAATAGATTCTGAAGCCAGTACTTGTTAAGAGTGTGGAACAGAGACATGACCGACTGCTCAAGCACCTAATGAGCTGATCAATGGTGAAGAGGATAAAGTAAAGTAAAGCATATTGTGTCATCGGGCTATGAGGAATAAAATTTGCGTGATGCAAATTGAGGTCATCAGCTAGCAAAGAGGTGAAGTATGCTTGACACACATTGTTTCATCTGCCTAGAAGGGGCTGAGATCTGCATGACACATACTGTGTCATTGGCCTCTGAGGGGGTATTATTTGCACTGCATACCCAGCCTGTGAGAGGGTTAAGGTGAAATGTGAGCAATTACAGAAAGCGAGAAATATATAGCCTTACAATCCTCTCTGAAGTGCTCATCAGGGTAGTAGTAAACCCACAATGAAACTAAAGACATTGTATCATGATGGGACAATCAGACTTAACAGGAATCATATTAGTGTTAGTTTATTTTTGCCCTTTGAGTGAACTGGTTCAATATACAGTAATTAACTGTGTAATCCTCAGAGAGGTTCCACTATGTCCCAAACCGAAAATAAATAGCACATAATAATCACTGCCACGAGATTATGATGTGCAGATCTAATCAACCTAAAGGTGATATAACTAATACATATAAAATCATAGATAAATTAAAACTTCATCCGAGTGGATGCAAACCTTGGCCACAAACCATTAACAGGGAAGGGTAAATATCAAATTAGTAATTCTGTTAATATTAATTAATATACATTAGTAACTGTTGAAGATTGTCTCACACCATCATTTTCTTGAACCCCAAATAACCTCGTCAGGTTTTTTATTACCAAAAAAACCTATTACCATG